TGAGCACTTACAGCACACGGACAAATTGTTTACTACTTTGCTTGTTTACATGTTTACACCCCCAACTCGTTTCGACTTGCTTTCTGGAGTCCCGTTTCAGGAGCTCCAGCACTTGGACCTACCGCCATCGTCCTAACATTCAGAACCAAGAGCTTCTGAAACCACGGGAGCGACGGGATCGATATGGAAATGAAAAGCATGACAAAAGAATTGATAGAAATCTCCCCATTCTCATGAGAAATAGAGACACATCAAACCGCTGAAAATATCACAGAAAATTATATATATTTATTAATAGTGTCATGGAGAATCCGATCACCCAAAGATTTACACATTCTCCTATTCTAGAACTATCACAGCCCGACTCTGTAAAATCACTGGTACCAAAAAGATTTCGATGTGAAGAAGATATTTTCGGTTCTCTGTCTTGTCGTAATCAACACACTGCGGGGTTGGCAGCTAGATCTGGAAGTTCGAGACAGTCAAATTTGAGATGATTTCCAGATTTGCAGAGATTGTAATAAGAAGTTATGGGAGAAACAAAAGTGCTTGCGTTGCCTGTCCGTATCTTGGTACCTACCTACCTAGGAAATATGATATCGACAAAATCACGGTGCGTTGGCCGGTGGTTGACAATTGCTGAGAATGGGAGAACCACCGGATATGACTTTAGGGAGCAACCCCCGTCGAACGATAATGCTCAAGGAGGATTCCGTCTGATACTATTCGATGCCTGTAGTGATGACTGCCGATTATGCTGTGTAAGCATAGAAAATCCTGTGCCTCGAATCATTGCTGGATGCTGCTGCAGCTTTTTGAAACTCCCGGTGTATTATTGATGTAAAAGAGAAATTTCTGCGTTGAAAACTCCGTTTGGATCATGATCTTTTGCCTTGTTTTTTTGGGTCCACGTTCTCCCATTCATCAGCGTGACGTCGCATTCGAGGCATTTTCATTGTCATTCTGGAGCACAAAAAATCTCTTCTGCATACTCGTAAAGATAGTATTATGGACCATAATGCTCCATCCCTATAGGGCAAGAGATGATTCATTACCACATGCATAGTTATTGCATTACCACATGGTGATGATCACAGCCACCTGCACAAATTGTGATTTGGCAAAATGCTTTGATATGAACCTTGAAAAGTTTAAGATAGGAGTCTGGACTGTGGACAGTGGACACGCAAACCATCATTTCCTCAAAGATCCTAGTGTCTAAAACAAATGGGATCGAATGGGATTTAAAGATTGTTCTTCAATTAGGTTGGAACTCAGAATCCTCCCGGATCCATAGCATCCATTCTTAGCATGTACGACCCTATCCAAAATCAGTCCTTGAAGCGTTGCCGATACCACTCACTATACGTGGGCTGATTGCGCGCCGATTGGAATTTGGAAAACAACGGGAACACGTCTAATCTCTCAATAAATTTGCTGAAAAAAGAAGGTCTCCGTGATTCCAATCAATGAGATGAAACGATGCCTTCATGAAGCGATAAGTGTCATGTAAGCTATGATTAATTGAGTTGAATTGGGACAGACCTCCTACCGTGCTTGACACTTTGATTGTTGATCTGTGAGAAAGAAACAAGTGTGGATGCAGTGGCATTTTACCCCTGGAGTAGCGTATTCGAGAAACAGTGGAAACGTCATTCGTCTGGCCAATTATTGGTCGCTTTCCCCTTTTTTTCGGAGTAGTCTCCTAGAAACGCGTTTTTAGTGGACCACTATCCCCCGGCGTTGCTTGGGTTCATCTCAATCGAAACCCCCTGCACCTCATGGCTTGAAGTAAAATCTAAATGTTCCAGGGCTTCCTCCAATGACTCGGCTGACCCAAATCGTGGCCGGGTTGCCAAAGAAGTCCCAACTGCCCACAGGCACCCCAGAAAATGATCGTCCCAATTTAAGATGACCTTTATTAAATAACCTGCCCGCTCCTCTCGTATTTCTCCTTCTCTTCTTCACCGTATTCAAGAAACTCGCCGTTCTCTCGTTCATTCAGTTCGACACACTCCTTTATCAAATCAACCAACTGAGCAATACATCGCTTGCACACTCTTTAACAACAACGGCCTCTTACGATCAACCTCATCAAATTTAAAGCATTATACCCATTAGCGAATACTTGAAAATTATCACTATTTCCGAAAATGCGTTACTCAACCACCGCAATTGTTTTGGCTGCCATGTCCATTGGCGAAGCTGTAGCTGGGCCTACTCACGTTCACCGACACAAACATGATAAGAAAGCGTATGAATATCAACCCGATGAATAATAAAGAGTGATTGCTAATCAGATGACAATAGTGCCGTCGTTGATGATTGGTCGGCGTTGGACTGGGCCAAGATGAGCATCAACTGGTCATCCGCTTATGAAGCAGGTCAAGCCTCCAAGACTGTTGCCGCTGCTGCTGCTTCCACCGATTCTAGCTCTACTGCCACTGCTGTCGACAACCTCGCAGAGAACAAGATTGCTGCATACACAACTTCCGCATCAGTAGCTGCTAGCACCACCGCCGCCGCTAGCTCATCTAAAACAAGCTCGGCCAAGTCTAGCGCTACCTCCTCTTCCTCTCTCCTCGACGATATTGAGGAACTGTTCGACGAGTTGGTTGGTGCTTCCAACGGCCGAACATCTTTCGGTGCCGTCGTAGCCGCCGCTGGAGGAACCACCGATAACTACTACGGAAACTACGGTCATCCATATGGATCCAACGTCATCAAGGCCGATTCCTCCGCCAGTTACTCCTACACTGTTAACTTCGTCAACACCCAATCTAAGAAAATCACTGTCAACATCTGGAACAAAGTTGGTCCTGACATGCAACCACTTTCCGGATCTGCACTTGCACCAAAGAACACCACACTCACCGTCACTATCCCAGCCGGAGGTTCCCAGAAAGTTGCTTTTGATGAGGACTCGCAAGTCGCTTGGGCCCAGGCCTGCAGTTCAACTGCAGCTTCAGGAGCCTTTGACACCACCTGGGGTGAAGCTCAATTCCTCAAGACTGGTTCCGGATACGATATGTCCGCCATCATGAACTCTGCTGGCAATAACTACAACATGACCATCACCAGTGAGGAAGCACCAGCTTGCACCAGTGATCCAACCCAAAACTACTGGTTGACTGCTACTCAGCCAATTGGTAACAGCGACGGCAGCTGTTACATTTCACAAAGCACTGCTACTTTGACAGTCATCATGGGTGGAACTATGTAAAGTGAAGAACGGGGCGTCGACTCTTGAGAAGAAGAAAAAAACTCAACCTCTATATAGTGTAATTTGGAAAAGCGAATTTTGTTCAAACCAACTCTGTAGCAAAGCCTATTGGTGAAGCACAAGTGACTTCACAAGACTCGGGTTGGTGCAACGGCTTGGAGCAAAGTAGTAGTTACTATAATGAAAAGGTTACTAGATGTATCTTCACGGGATGGAGTAAGGAGACAGGATACCATTGGACACTTCCTTGCATTTACCAATAAATATACATATAATGTATGCATTTTTTGAAATTATCAGCAATTCGATTCCAAACTTTTCTATTTAATATTATTCTCTCATAAATATCCATGTGGTTTACTGTTGTGCGTAAGTTGAAGATGGTGTGTCTGTGTTTCTCGGGTCAGTATATTTATTTTCTGTAGAGTAATAGAAGCCGGCGTGGCTCGAGTCTGAGATAATAATCACTCAGCAAGTCAAATTCCAAAATAGAATCTCCACGATGCTCCTAATAATCACCGGACTGTGAAATCTGATAAGTGATGCGGGGGAGAATGAAGACAGACATTAAAGTACTGACCTTCATATCTGAGAAATTCCTGATTCATAGCTCCAAGAGTTGTGTCGGAAGTATGGCGAGTGCACAACGCTTGAACTAGTAGCAAATTCGAACACTCATAAAAGTAGATGAGTGTAGATGGGAAGAAGAGTAGAAGAGTACGAGCAATGAGGGATGAATAGATAAGTGATAAGAATTATGACATATAAGTAGTTCCAAATTCTAGTACTTCAACCATTCATCGTGTTATACACACTAGGTAGATAAGTACCCAAACTACCTAGTTAAGTGAGTACAAACAGTTTGATGTTCTCTGTGACCGTTGATGTATCGAGTTCTTGTGATATCATTGGCTGTTTTTGACTTTCGGTTACAGTATGCATATGCAGGTACGAACGGCGTTGCGTTACCATGGCGGCTAATTTGACAGTTTGACGTGATATCAACCACTTGTGACCTTGCTACATGTTCACACCCTCGTATAGAGTTGATCCTTCCTATGGATAACTACCTACTACCTAGGTCGGCAGTTCGTACTCAATCATTCCTTCCTCTCTGTACCATAACGCAAACTACCGTCAGATAGAATCATCTTATCCACTTCACGATCCTTCTACTTCGCTCTCTGTTTCCTTTTCCATCTTATCAATTTCTTCAACTGTCTCTCCCGTTCTCAAAACTAACCTAAGGTACCACAATTCACGACTATTCATTCAGACTCAGACTTCACTCCAGATTTTCACTTCATTCTCACTTCATTCTCACTTCAATTTGACTTCACCCCCCCAATTTTACCTTCACTTCGCCCTCGACCTCTTCTGGTTTACCTACATATTAACTATAGTCGCTCTTTTTGGGTACCTCTCTTCTTACGACTTGCATGGTTGTTTGTTTGCGACGATTCATACTTTCAATTCTCAATATCCATTCACTCATCCATTGATTCACTCTATTTCAATATTCACGAACGTTACGATCCAATCAAGAGGAATAAAGTACAGTCATACCAAGAAACCCACATTACACAATAATATATCTTTACGCCGTCGCAAACTTTTCAACCCTCTTGATGACGCGAACCACAATACCTTAACCCAAATACTACCTTTCAAATAAAGACTCAAATCTGTCTCACGACCCGGGATAATTACTTACTATCCGTTTCTCTTATGCGAATGACCAAAAAACAACCCTCTATTTTACCTTACAAGATCAATCATGCGCAGTAGCATTTTGGCCACGGCCTACATTTTATCTTTAGCAGTATCCATTGTCAATGGTTGCGCCGAGGTCTCTGGAAATTGGTTCTGTAATCCCGTGGATGCTATCTTGTACAGCAATGTCGGCGCACCAGGAACTTACAATCAAGTTACCGATATGTCCTCGGATGGAATTTGTTCTTCTACACCCAAGCCGTTTTCTGGTCCGCTTTCTCCATTAGACGAAGAAGTTTCATTTCACTTTCGGGGTAATTGCATATAACCCTAGTCTAGCTCTCAATGCAATCTAACAATCCTTTCAGGGCCTCTTCAGTTGAAGCAGTTCGCAGCATATGCACCGGGCGCTACTGCTAGCAAGGAGAAACGTGAGGGGTCGACCGCTAGACGTCGTCGCCATCTTCAGCATATTGATAAACATGCTAGGGGAGGCAATCAGAAGCGCGATAAAATTTATGCGACGATCGATGGACAACTTGTCTCGTGGGATAATAACTTTCCCACCCCGGGTCTTGATGCTTTTCACGGTGATGCGAATACCGTTACTGCTACAATAGATGGTGAGATACGAACATGGATCAACAATTGGTTCGGATCAAGCACCACGACAATGGTAGCCCAAGCATCTACTACCGTATCTCAAAGTGCATCTCAAGGGGCATCTACAAGCGAAAAGACTCAGGAGACTTGTACGAAATTGAATTCCCCTCATCGAATTTGTTATGTGGCTGACATTCATACCTAGCTACCTCGATCACACCATCTGCCAGCACAGCGTTGTCTCAGTCCCGGGCATCTACACAGGGATCTGCTTCTCAACCCCAAGTTTCCAAAAATCCATCTGCCTCCGAGCCTCAAGTATCCACAACCCCATCTGCCTCGGAGTCTCAAGTATCTGCAAGCACAACCAGCTCAGCTACAGCTATAGCATTTGGATCCTACAACAGAATAGGTTATTACAGTTCTACAGAGCAGACTCTTGATAACCTAGTATTTCTTGGGAATTAGTGAGTATGATCGTTTTTTCCCCGCTATATAATTTGCACTTCTACAGTACGACAAGCGAATAACCTTCTTCTAATGTTTTCCTCGCTTCTCATACCTAGGATCAATTGCTAACTGAGTCTGTCTTCATTAGTGGTGGTCAAGGCTCAGGCGTATTCGATGAGGTTTATGGCGCCTCACTTTCTTTCGTGAATAGCAGTGGCACAGGCGGTGCATCATCACCTCAGATCCTCTCTGATGCCACCTTACCATCGAATGAAGAGATCATTGTGATGCTTGACGAAGAATGCAATAACGATTGCGGCTATGTGCGTCCTGGATCTGTTGCTTACCGTGAGTTGCTGTGTTATATTTGAAGATTATTCATTACTAACACACCTGTAGATGGCTTCAATGGAGCGAACAAAGTTTTCCTCTTAGAATTTAGCATGCCGATAGATGGAAGAACCGGATTCAATGGCGATATGCCCTCGGTTTGGATCCTCAACGCTCAGATTCCTCGAACAATTCAATATGGGAATCCAAGTTGTTCATGTTGGGAGTCTGGTTGCGGTGAATTTGATATTGCAGAAGCACTGAACAGTGGTTCGACATTCCTGAAGTCCACACTTCACACTAACAAACCAGGAGGAGATTCGGACTATTTTGTACGGCCGACTTCCAGCACAATGAAACTTGCCGTTGTATTCAATTCTGCCACTTCAACTATACATATTCAGGTTCTACCTACGAGCTACGACTTCCCAACAAGTTTGACAACAGATCAAATTCAGAGCATCTGTGGCACGAGTACTGGAAGTCAACTCTCTGAATTCGCCATCTCGTAACCTTAACCTAGATCTGGAATTTTCGATTGGTTACGAGGAAAATTCCGTGGAAGGAATGATAAGACAAAAAGTTTTTAGACCGATGTTAGGAAGTAGGCGATAAATTTTTTTCATAAAAATACCCTTCTACTCTTGTGTATGTTGACGTACCAATGAGAACCTTTGACATCAGTAGGATAGTTCTATTGCATGGTGCCTTCCCAGTAACATTGGAGTATGTGTCATGATATACAAAACCATTTCTCAGATGATTGGAAAATTCCGATGATAAATGTAGTGCCTGAAGTAATACCTTGACTAAATTGTAACGTTGAGATGTAAGCTTGAGTTGTAGATGATTCTGTCTTTACTTGAGGTTCTTCAACATCAATTGACTAGATGGTTTAAGTATATAGTATAGTTCAGCTAGAATTTTTTTCTCTATATTATATAATTGGTCTTGAATCAGAGCTTATTGTGGGTTAGATTTTTTTAAAACTAAAATGTTCTAGTTATTTTAACAAGACCATTAAATACAGAAATTATACATCAGATTATTCTAGGGTGGAAAGTAACAATAAACTAAATTCCATTCTATAGTGGTAATGATTGTTAACCTATTAGAAAGAATTTGTTCAAAATCAGGAAAGCAATCGAGGAGAGAGAAGAAATTGCAGAGAGGTTTATAATGCAATTGCGCAAGAGGTACTTAGTATGGAGTAGAGAAGGAGACTGATAAGTCTCACACCACATAATTTGGATCAACATTATATCTCGTGGGTCATCACTTGAAAACCCCAGATAACTTTTCTCATGAATTTCCATTCTACCTTTCAATATCCCATATATATCCATTAAAGTAAACCGACCTAGAGCCCTCATTTCATCTCCCACCCTCTCTCACTCCCTCCTCTTATAATACCACTCCATATCCTGCCTATTCCCATCCATCGACTCGATTCTCTCCCCCTAATACTTCATCATCTTCCACGCCTTCGCCGCCAGCGCCGCGATCTCTTCTTCTCCACAACGACTCATCTCTTCAAGTCTCTCTCTCTAAAAAATCTATCTCGCGACACTAAATCCCGAAGTCGGCACCCCCTGTGCCTTTTTAGCCAATTCCCCGATTTCTGAAAGTCCGAATACGAAATCTTGATTCTGGAGATAGAGACTTTTGATTTTGTGTCCGCAGTATGGGAACCAGACTATTGCGGCGGGGAGAAGCTCTGCGATGGCAGATACAGCGATACAGTTGTCGGGATCGGAATTAGGGGCTTCGGCTTCGCTTGTTAATGCTCGTGGAGTCTCGAGAGTATCGCGCAAGATCCGCAGCGCAAGTAGACATATTTCTGGATCGCGCACTCGGGCGGAGGCGAGGCGCGCAATAAATGCACTACTGAGATTTTGGCGCTGGGGGAGAGTGTCCATGCTGATTGGAGCTCTTGTACTAGGAAGGGGAGATCGCTCTAGATGTGGCCGTTGGAGGTCATTGCTATTTTGATCTCCTGATCATGATCATGATCATTCTTCTCCTCTGGCTTCGCATCCCCCCTCTGCCGGAAAAGAACACCCATTTCCCTCGCATGCAACACCTGACTCACCAATCTATCTTGCGCTGGGTGCTCCGCAGCGATAAGTTTGCCGTCTTGAATACACAGATACCATAGCTCGCGGAGATGGTACTCGTACAGCTCGATGGGATGCGTACCTCCCGTTTGTGTGGAGCGACTCGCGATGTTGCGAGTGAGGAGCCGGGCTTGTTGCCAGAATGTATTGGAGTTGTTAGTTTCTGTTTCGGCGAGCTCGGCGCCGATGGCTTTCTTGTGTAAGGTGTGGAATTTGGAACGGCTTTTGAGGCGGTCGTTTAGGTTTAGGGATGCCATGCTGAGGGGTTTGAGCGGATGGGCTGGGTGGAAGGAGAGGCTGGAGGGTTCAAGATTGAAGGGAGTCGTTAATGGGTCAGCATCCGTCGACTAGCATCACCAACTATTCAGGTTGTTGCGAATTTATTCGGTGGTAGACAATGATCCTGTGATCGTCATGGATAACTGCCTGCATTGTGTCTAATCGTTAAAAGGAGTGTGTTGATTACTCACAATTGTAAAACGCTGGTCCAATAGATTCCGTGAATCGCCATGTGAAAACCTGAACTTTAGATCTAGAATGGTGCAGCGACAGTTGGAAGATCTTGATAGGAGGTGTTGTAGAGTTCTAGGATGGGATATGATGGGATCTTTTTCACTCTTGTGTTGGGTTGAAGTAGTAGACTAGGCAGACTAGACTCGACTAGACGAGAACTAGAATAATGTGAGGATATAATTTATAAATTATGTATTTTTATTCTCGAGTATGTACAATATTCTAGGAAGAAGGGTGTTTTTCTCTGTCCTCTTCAATTTTTTCTTCGTTCGTGAATTCTTGGTTCGTAAAGTGGTCTAGCGTTCAGACTCCAGAGTCTAGAATTCGGACCATAATTATCTGATTTCATTCCTACTGGGGTAGTTCCAGTCGGTAATGCATCTATTGCATTGGTTGCATAATATCCATATACAATCCCTCCATCCAACCCCCTCCTGATAAAAAGCGAAAGAAACATTAAACCATAACACCATAGTTCCCCCCCTTCACCAGCGGCTCAACCTCACTCTCAAGCCCAAAGCCCGCTCTCCTAATATCCGCCATCGGGATATTGTTTCTTGTCCCCGGATTTCCATACTGATTCTTCAGCTCGCCATAACGAATGCGCAAATCCTTGAGAGGTTTCGATAGTGATTTTGTGTTTCCCAGACAAGCCGCTTGCGTAAGAGTTCGAAGTTGTGATGGGATAGCCATGCTGGAGATTCTATTTGATAATCCGGATGTTGGGGGTGGTGCGGAGAGGGAGGAAGTGGTGCAGAGGAGTTGTGTGAAATTTGCGTCTTGGGCTGCAACCCCGTTTTGGACGAGGGCCCAGAGACCGAGAATGAGGAAAGGGAGGGAGAGGAGAAGGGAGAGGAAGTAGGGGAGGAGGAGATTGAGGGGTTGTGAGAAGGAATAGATGTTGTGAAGGGTGAGCATGCTGGTGTTGGTGGGGGTGGACCAGAGGGAGTAGGAGAGGGAGGCGCTGAGAGTGATGTTTTGAAGGAGGGCATTGAGTGTGTTTTGTGTAATGACGAAGGAGGGATTTGCAGAGGAGTTGGTGGTGTAGTGTGTAAAGGCTGTGTTTAGAGGAGTACGGGAGATGATTGCGCCGTTGAGAGCTGGGGAGGCATTAGTTAGTGTTAATTTTGGGGATGGGATTAGGAGAGGATCAGGATATATCATTAGGCTGAAACATACCTCCAGAACTCCAACCATCGGCATTTCCAAAGCCTGGCGAATCCTCCCCCCATCCCGTGGCATCAATAGCATCCACCGCCCTTTCCTCATCAGTATCTAGGAGAACAGCCGGCAACGCTGTAAATTCACCAGCGAGATAGTAAAACATAGTATCCAAAATTGTCATCATATTCAGATCGCGATAGTAGGCCAGAGCTTCAGCGCTCCAATTTGCGGGGTTGCTGCCAAAATCGTATCCGCTAATAATTCCAGAGACGTTGGTGAAGCCGGGCACGATGACAGCATTGTCGTGGGTGTGCAGTACGAGGCTTGTTAGCGGCGAAATGAAGGTGGTGGTGACGTTGCGTGTGAGAATATTGGAGATGTAGGTATTGTTTACGGTGTATAGTGCGCGGCCAGGGGTACAGTAGAGATTGTCTTGTATCATGGATGTGTTTAGGGTCAAGGTTTCATTGATGGAATTGGCATCAACGGTGTTTACTTCTGTATCTAACAGGGATAATGTGCTGCTTTGCCAATGTGCATTCGTATAGGTTCCGTTGTAAAGTACCTGTCGAAGTGCAGGCGTAGCAAGTGTGAGATCAGACCAGTTTCCTGAGTAGATCGAAAATTCCGGAAATAAGGTCGTCGAGTTGGCAGTGACACTAGATGTGATATTGGTACTGGATGAGTTGCAGTCGAGCGTTGGGCCCTCAAATTCTATCACAAAGGAACAATTGACGCCACAGGGTGAAGGTTGATCGAATGCCTGTCCTGTAATCATTGTTTGGAAAGCGAGGCGAGGAAGTAAATTGGAGTGTTTTCCGGTTAATAAACCGCTAGAAACTACGTTTAGTGATTATTTAACTAAAGCATGGTTCGAGAATGTCTTACCTAGAAGTAAATCCAGATACAGATCCATCCGCACTCTCAGATACCGGTGATAATACAGCCAAAGCATATTGGTTAGCGGCGAAGCCAGAACCATTCCCCATCTAGTAGATTGTGATTAGCCGAGTATTTTGATGAGTGTTCGAGTCTCGGTAAAAACTCACAAATGATGCATTGAATGTTGGAACCACTACCGAATTATACGATGTCCTTTGTATTGTAACAACATTGATAGCGCCAGGAGGGAAACTGGCTGCAACCGTCATACTAGCCATCATTATCGACAACACACACAAAACAGGAGCAGCACGAATAGCAGCCCCTGTACACATCTGAAAAACGTTGGACTTTAGTCCGAAAAGAGTATCGATTGTGGAGATCTTCATGCTTTGAACGCGCAAAAGACGCCATAGATACTGAACGAAAGATGTGGCTAAGGCTGTCTTGAGAAAGAATGAGAAAGCATTGGCTAGAATGTTAGACGCCGTGGAGATATATGTCTGAGGCGCAACTCTGTCCTCTCCATCGGCTGCTTTACCTGAGATGTAGATGAATAAAAACAAGTGAAGGAGGGCGGTTGCGAGAGCTACAGATGAGATTTGTCAGAAGACGAATTATCTTATTCTTTAGAGAAACATATCGAGTAGATAACAGGATATGATTATCGTAGGCGTTTCCCACCCAATTCCCCATTTCGAAAGAACGGAATTTGGAGTCTTAGGTGGTATCGTTTGATTTTGAGAGCTAGGGAGGCTGGAATGCGACGAACTATTTGATGATATGGGAGATATTGTCGGGCTAGTGCTCCTAGAGGATGGACCGACTTGCGGACTGGAAGATGCTGTTGTTGTCGGAGAAGATGGGGCTCCCAGTATGGGGGAATGGGTATTTGAATAAACACTAGTTGGTGTACCAGCTCTACCTGACTGCTGAGCCCATGCTGCCGTTGGTAAAGTAGGAGATCCCGAAAGAGTATTTCCCGTTGTCATGATGGCTCTAGTTCCCTTAAGATCCGCGCTCTTTATTTCGCTTGTAGAAATCAAGTTACAAATAGCTCTCTACGAAGTGTCTGCCGACGATGATATTATAGAATGAAAGCAAGCAATTGAACAGGAAAAGCTTTGTGCGACGAATACGGCAACAACTTCTTTTATGGAGCTCTTCCTCGTCGGATCAACCCCAAGACTCAATGGAAAACTTGTACCATCATCACATAAACGCATGGTTGTTAGACGCGGACCCGCGAAATTACAGGGTAGCGTTTGAGTTCGAAGCGTGTATACCCAATCGATTCTGACCATCTCTGGTCCCCTTACAGCGTTCATCGCTAGGGGCGACAGGACCCTCAATCCGGGCATATCTATAATTATTGTGCTTGTACTCAACTCTAATCGCAGCATGAGACACACTGCTGGCCAAAGAATTGTTAAAGATGGTGGGGATAAGATCCGACAGTTTGGTTCCCCAAAAAATCGATGCTTGAAGGTCACTACATGAACGAGTTCATTGGTGCATTTTAAGCGCTTGCTAGCTCAACGTACTGCCCCAGACTGGTAATAATGCTGATGCTCTTACATTAGGACTACAAGCACTTGCTTATGAAAAGGTAAGGCGGATTTTGAGACAAATCTAACGTATCTGAGCGATTAAATAAGATAATGTACACACGAGGGGTCACAAGAAATTAATTAGGTAGGTTGGCTAAGAACGGCGACGTTGGCTCATCGCACAGTTAACTTTGGCACCAAGAGAGTACTGTAATGTAATTGACAAGCGGCCGTCAAAGAAACCTGGAGGAAGCTGAACTTGGCAACGTAAGGTAAATCCCACATCCGGCGCTGTGCTGCTTTTTCTAGATTGTTTTTATTTGTTGATGTATTATCTATCCTTTTTTAATCTTTTGAAGGAGATTGAAGGGGATTGAAGGGGGTCGATGGGGAAAATGTAAGATGTTGTCTTTGATTGGCACAAGGCCCTGAACTTTTTTTTATGAATCATTCCGCACAGAGTACGATGAACAGAACAGCCGCATTTGCATGGCCATCGTAAATTGATTTACTTTTTTGCGTTGTCGATCAGGTCAAAGCAATGCAAAGAGATTATAAAGGGCTTGGTTATGTTGGTAAGATAGGGGATGCGATTGAAAAGAGGAGGTTGACGCTGAAGAAGGAGGAGGAGAAGAAGTAGAAGAAGAAGGAGAAGAAGAAGAAGAAGAAGAAGAAGAAGAAGATGAAGATGAATAAATTGCAATTGAACGCTTGGCGCATCCAAAGCTTGATAATCAATTCAAATTGAGGCATTAATCAACTTTAACCTTACCTAATCCACAGATGCTTCCTTCGTTCTCGAGATAAACGCGAAAGTGCGAATTTCTCAAACAAATTGGTAATCTTGAAACAAAGTCGACCTTGGCTTTAGAAAGCAGCTTTATTACCTTTACCGTTTCAACCCTCCCGGCTCGGAATTATCAAGAGCTTCGAAAGATTAACCCCATCTCCATCTCCATCTCCATCAATGCGCTACTGCTAGCTACCCAACTAGTGGGTAGCTAAGATTGTGGTAAGCCATTCGCGGGGTGACAGGTAGGTCATTCACATTCGTCATTAACCGCAGTCGTCGTTACCCACAGTCCAAATCTAAACGGAGGAGCGAGCTTTAGAGCAGCACAATTTGGAGTAAAGGTATGGTCGAATTTCCTTATAAGAACCTCGAGGTAAGAAGGAACGGAAGACTACATTCCATTTCCAGATTCAGATATCTCTTGACCCAAACGTTCTTCACCTCTTAAAATCTCACTTGCAGCCTTTGTGCCACTGCTTTTTCCCCTCTTTCAACTAACAACACCATCAAATTTCCCAAACTTCCCAAATTTAAAACCAACCATCAATATGTCTTCCAGTGATAAGAAATTGCTCGTCGTCTTCGGAGCTACAGGAGCACAAGGTGGCTCGGTCGTTCAAAGCATTCTCTCTGATCCTAAATTGAAGGAAACCTGGGCAGTTCGAGGCATCACCAGAGATGTAACAAAGCCTGCTGCAAAGAAAATCGAGGCACTCGGTGCTGAGACATTTGCTGTAAGTTCCTGCATAGTCTCTACACTGATTCGTTCAGGATTAACACATATCTATAGGCAGACTTGAATGACGCCGAGTCTCTCAAAGCTGCAGTGAAGGGAGCATACGCTGTCTTTGCCGTTACCAACTTTTGGGAAAGCCAAAGTGCAGATGTAGAGAAGAAACAAGGAGTTGCAATTGCAGATGCTGCAAGGGTATGAGATCATTTGGCAATTGTACTCATTAGAGTGAGAAACCCCGAATCTAATTTTATCTACATATAGGAAGCTGGTGTTCAGCACTTCATTTGGAGTTCCTTATTGGACGTTACAGAGCGTAAGTTTTCCTACCCGTCACTCTTTCCTTCTACAGCTCAAATGCCATATTTTCATTATCGTCTTGTTTGTACTTTTATTGTTTTCTGTGTTTTGGGAAATCTGATATTCCACTTCGTTCACCCCATTTGGGCGTTTCAAAGTTCTCACATGACTTTTGTTGCTCCAACCCATTACGAGGACTTCAAACTGACCAGTTTCCCACAGTCTCTAAAGGAGCCCTTCCCAAGGTCACACATTTTGACTCCAAGGCCCATATCGAGGAATATGTCAGAAAGATCGGGATCCCAGCGACTTTCTTCTTGGCTGGATTTTACATGTCCAATATTCCTGGCCAAATGTTGCAAAAATTACCACCTGACAACAAATGGAAGCTTGCTTTCCCAATTCCAGCTTCATCTTCTGTCCCACTTCTTGCTACTGGTGAGTTCTGCTGCTATCCGAAATTATAGCAATTACTTACTAATATGTTACAGTTGAGGACACTGGTAAATTTGTCAAGGGTATCCTTCTCAATAGAGAAAAGGTTCTTGGAAAGCGTATTTACGGTGCCACCAAGTATTACACCTTGACCGAGATTTTGAAGGAGTTCACGGAACAATATCCTGCCGCTAGCGAAGGAGCTGACAATGTTGAACTTCCCCATGAAGTCTACAAGAACATCCTCAAGAGTTTTGGTATGAGTGATGACGCTCAAGAGGAATTGTTGCAGAATATGAGATTGTTGAACGAGTTTGGATATTATGGGGGTGATTCTTTGGACGAAAGCCATTCTGTAAGTTTTTTCTAAAAGCATCTTCTTTGGATTCTCATACTAATATCTCATTTAGATCTTGGTGGACAAATTGACAACATGGAAGGAATTCATCGCAAAGAGTCCAGCCTTTGCTGAGTTGAAGTAAAGTCTATGAAGACTTATGGCTTGTAAAGTCTTCATAGACTTATTAGCTTAGGAGGAAGACTTTCGAAGTTGGCAGATGTGTACGCGATTGATATTATTTGAATTCTATCAATTTACCTTGATTCTTTGTTACATGTAGGCAACGTGAACGTGATATGTGCTCCAAGTTACCAGCACCCAGGTTGTACTTTTGTAAATGTAATCATCTACCTACAGTTTTTGGTAATATCATATGTCAGACACATCTATCTCGGGCGTACCCAGGCAATGAAAAGATATAAAAGGGTCTAGGGAGGCTCGTAGCTAGTATGTAAGTGGATGGGTAGACTGACTCAAACTCCATTGACCGAAATACCGAGGTCTATCATTAGTTCAGAAGCGAATCTCGGGCATGAGCGTCGGGCGTCTTTGATGAATTTCATTCATATGGAATTCAAACAATCAAACAGTCAAACAATCAATCATAATAATTCTCAACTCTTCTTTCTGCCTTTATCCAATTCTGTGCCTTTTCACCTTGACTGTATCCTGATTCTGCAAAAATCGTCTTTCTTGGAGGTATAATCAAGTATCAATTTGTTCATTCTAATTTCAACTTCCAAATCCGCTTTCAACCAAAACATACCATATACCGAACAAATATCTCTAGCCAATCCAATTCACACAGCCCCCGCAAATAATCATAGTCACTTATCACAGGCTTATTAGCCTTCTTTATTCATCGGCCATCACAAGCTTGGATCTCATTAGAAATCATTTAATCTCATCTATCAAATCCGTCAACTTTGCGACCAGAATTCATCCCTTTCACTGCCATAAGACCTTCATCTTTTGTGTAGGTACATCGGTGTAGTCAGTCTGGACGATATTGTTTGGACCGAATAATCCATCATGGCTTCACCGCCGAAACCTTGGGAAAGAGGTGGCGCTGCAGTTAGCACTGCACTTCCAAGCCCTGGTTAGTGTTTATAAGATAACATTTGTCTCTTCTATTATCCCTGCTAACGTTTGATCTTCTTCGCCTAGCCATGACCTCAACTACTGCTGCTACCTCGGGTAGTTCTGCTGGTCCATCAGTTTTATCATCTACATCTGCCAGTACCTCGGGTGCCCCAGCCATACCCGAACGACCTTCTACTCTTACGAACACCGTTAATCAAAACGCATCCGCATACTCACCATACGGCGCAAATAGAATGGGAGCTGTAGGGGCTTCGCCATATGGTATGGGAGGTATGGGATCTTACTCATCACCCTATTCAAGAATGGGAGGTATGGGAGGTTATGGTTATGGTGGTATGGGAGGGTATGGATCTATGTATGGCGGAGGCATGGGCGGGATGTATGGAAATATGGGAGGGATGGGACCAAATGATCCCAATAGCTTGACGCAAGGCTTCACCCAGAGCACACAAGCTACTTTCCAAATAATTGAAAGTGTAGTTGGTGCATTTGGAGGATTTGCTCAGATGCTTGAGAGCACATACATGGCTACACACTCTAGCTTTTTCGGTAGGCAGACTCCCAAGAAATTGTTCCTCAAAAGGTTCTTTACTGACAATCACAGCGATGGTATCTGTTGCTGAGCAGTTCGGAAACTTGCGCAATAATTTAGGATCCATCCTAGGAATATTTACCATGATGCGATGGATACGCACTCTCTTTGCAAAGATCACAGGTCGACCCATGCCTGTAGATGCCACCTCCTTAACACCTTCCGCATTCGCCTCTTTTGAAGGCCGCAAAATACTGCCAGACGGTAGTTCTCCACCTCGTCCATCCAAAAAGCCCTTCCTTTTTTTCATAGCAGCTGCATTTGGTCTTCCATACCTCATGGGTAAGATGATCAAAGCTCTCGCCGCCTCTCAAGAAGAGGAGCAAAAACGACTACTTGCGTCAGGTCAACTAATGGGCCCTGATGGTCAGCCTGTCCCTGCACCACTCGACCCTTCGAAACTCGATTTCTGTCGCGTCTTATATGATTTTACCCCTGAATCCGGTGCAGCAGTTCAAGGTGTAGATCTGGAAGTCAAGAAAGGAGATTTAGTGGCAGTTATTAGCAAGAGTGATCCCATGGGTAATCCATCAGAATGGTGGCGATGTCGTGCTCGCGATGGTCGCATGGGATACCTTCCTGGTGTATACCTGGAAGTAGCAAGGCGACCCGGTCAACCTATCGCCGAAATCAAGAGTGCAAGTCAAAGTGGGAGTCGAACTAGTACTATGACTAGTTCAAGTATCGGCAATGCTAATCAAGTCAAGGTACTGGCGGCTCCTCCTGCAGTGGCGGGAAAGGCAGGGGATATTGGAGTGGAAAGTTTCCAAAAGAGCCAGTTCTATTCGTAGACTGCGAACATATTTAATAAACAGTAGCACAGTTTTCATGTACTGTTATATCTAGGGCTGGATGGCGTTTAGCGGGCATCGTTTCTTTCCCACCTGTCTTTTAAAAATGCGACATCTCAGGGCTTTAATAGGTAGGGCTCGAGTGGGGTTTAATGATTTGCTACTTGTAACAAGCTGGCTCAAAAGATTCGTTTGGTTATGATTGACGATACGATACAACACTTTTTTTTTTGCGGCTTGTGTAGATAGTTGTTGGCATCAGGAGGCGTTTCTAAAAACTTTCTTTTCATTCAATTTTTGAATAAGATGAGTTTATTTATCAAGCATATTTTCAAATATGTATATACTTCCACCAAATACATTACCCAATTTGACATTTCTGCAAAACTACTTTCTCTTTGATTGTCAGGTACACAGGTGTAATACATTTATGAAGTGTTAAATTGTAGAAATTATTGTCTGTTGTTCTCTTTAGATACGCCCTCTCGAGACCACTTGATAGTCGCAATACTCGTAGCGCTCAATAATCGAGATCTCAAGCAAATTCTCAAATGCACTAAGTAGTTCAGGCTAAGGATTCTTCCACATATCCACAACGACAAAGGAACAAAAATTCAATACCTCCGACATGGACACGGCACCCAAACCATCAAAACCAATCCCACCACCCCCATCACCACCGCCCCATACAAAAAATCCGCAACCCTTCCCACCGCCACCTGCCACCTCCTCTCCCGTTCCACATTCCTCGCCCTCTCAATATCCCGCACAATCGGTCTTGCGTAAGCACCTAACATCCATCCTCGCAAATCTTGTTCTAAAGTTCCGGGACTGCTAGTGTGGATATCTTCTCCGCTCCAGGAGATACAATTGATGGATTGCTGGAGATTGAGATTGATGTTGGTGTTGATGTTGGGATTGGGATTTTGAGGTTCACGGGGGATATGAATTGGGATGTCCCGACCGGAAAACCAGCTGTGGATCCAGAGACGGATTTGTGGGACGGAGGCGTGGTTTGGGGGGAGGGTGTGCAGGAAGATTTCGTGGGGGGGCAGGGGGTGGAGAGTGGGGTGAGTAGGATGGGTTTGTTGCGGAGGAGCGGGGGGCTTGGTTTGTGTGGGGGGATTTGGTTGTTGGATGATGAAGGGTTTGGGTGAGGGATGTTGCTCGATGGTGAAGGATTTGAGTGCGAAATGGGGTTCGAATTCGTCGGAGTGGAATTCTTCGTCTGTGTGGTGGAGAGGGACTTCTTCTTCATCTTCTTCATCAACATCCTCCTCCTCCTCATCCTCATCCTCATGTAAATCAACAAGATCCCCTTCCATCTCATTAACTACTGAAGAAGTAGGAGTCATCTGCGGAGTCGTTTCCCTCGATGCGGACGAGCGTATCGAGGTCTCGTGACTCTCCAACTCGAATCTTACTTGGATATCTGATCGCCATGGAAGTGTAGTTTCGTTTGTATTGTCAATCTCGCGTTTTATTTCCTCTGCTTCTCTATTGCGAGAAATTGCTGACGTTTGAGGATTTCCTCCATGGCGGTTTAATAATTGAGTGTTCGTAAGAGGGGGAGAATTGGCGCTACAGATGACCTCTGCATCTTCCTTTTCCTTTTTCTCTTCCTCTTCTCTGGCCCCAGAGAAGAAATGACCTAGCAAGCTTGAAAGCGAGGACATTTTGCCGTCATCCAACTTGCTCTGTAATTCGCGATCCGTACGACGTGGGAGACTAGGACTGCATAAATCTATCTCTTCGTCAATCGTGGCCAGAGGAATGGTCGGGATGGTCTTTGATACAACTTTGTTTGACTTTGTGTTTGAAGTAATGCTTTGACTTGTCATTTGTGGTATTACAACCTCAATGGTGCGTTTCTGAACCATTTTCATGTTGATGTTTATTGTGATATAGGGGTTGAGTTATCAAAATGAATATGAACGCTGACGAGATGGATATGTGTTGCTGTGAGATTTTGAAAGGAATAGATAGCTAGCGGAAGAATATTTAAGTAAGTGAATTACCGTACCAAAAATCATGTACGGTATTGAGTTGCTCGCGCGAATTGTAAAATTAGTAATTTAACCAGCAAAGCGAGAACATAACAAAAAACTTTTAAATTCATTCACCCGCTAAATACAAATCATAGATTATTTTCATCCATATACTTCAGCCTTAATCCAACAGCTCTTCTATGAGCTTCTAATTCTTCGACCTTCGCTAATTGCATCACAGCACCACCAACATTTCTCAATCCCTGAGCTGTTAGTTGTGAACTAGTGATGTGCTTCAGGTATGACCCAAGGTTGACACCAGAGTATTGCTTAGCAAATCCATATGTAGCTATCTCGATTATCAGTATAGACGTACAATTATGTGAGTGACAAACTTACGTAAAGAGTGGTTGACACCAGCAGAATAATCACCAACACTCTCTGGTGTCCATTCACCAATGAAAACACTACCAGCGTTTTCAACCAATTCTACTACACCTGCGGCATCCTTGACTTGCAAAATGAGATGCTCTGGAGCGTATTCATTGCTAAGTCTCATTGCCTCCTCGATGTCCTTAACAACAAGAGTTATCGAGTGCTCAATGGCACCACGAACAATATCGACTCTTGGCAAGGCCATAGCTTGTGCGTGAAGTTCGTCTTCAATGGCTTGCAATTCTTTCTCAGAAAGATCGATGGCAATTAAAATGACTTGACTATCAACACCATGCTCTGCTTGGGATAATAAGTCCGATGCAACGAATGCAGGGTTCGCTTCCTTGTCTGCAATGACGAGTACCTCAGATGGACCAGCTGGCATATCGATACTCACGCCAGCATTGGTGTCATTGCTAACATACATCTTTGCTGCAGTAACGAATTGATTACCTGGACCAAGAATTTTGTCGACCTTTGTGACACTTTCAGTACCGTATGCCATGGCAGCAACAGCCTGAGCACCACCAGCCAAGACAATACTCTCAGCACCAACTTTGTGGGCAACATAAACGATCTCCGGAGTAATTCTACCATCAGATCGAGGAGGTGATGCTAGTACGATCTTCTTACAACCAGCAACCATAGCTGGTACACCCAGCATAAGAGCTGTACTTGGAAGTACAGCAGTACCTCCTGGAATGTACAGTCCCACACGCTCAATTGGTCTTGAAAATCTGCTGCAAACAATACCTGGCATTGTCTCAACTTGTAACGGGTCCTCTTTTTGTGCTGCGTGGAATTTACGAATGTTCTCAAAGGAAATATCAATAGCCTCGATAGTCTCTGCTGGAAGGTCCATGAGTGATTGTGGGAAAGGAGCTTTGAGAACAGGAGAAGTAAGTGAGGTTGCCTTTTCGAACTTGTGGGTGTATCCAAGCAATGCTTTGTCACCTCCCTCTCGTACATCCTTGATAATAGGGTTCACAATACCCATGATCATATCAGTAGACTTTTGGGAGGGTCTTTGCAAAATATCCTTAAGATCAGTTTCTGATGTTGTTGCAGCATTGTATCGCTTCATAGTGATACGTCCATTCTTGAGACCTGCCTTGTCCTCCGCAAATTTTGGCACAGAAGCAGCTTCCTTGACGACCTCCTTAACGCTTTCAGTCTTAGCTGTGGAAGCATTGGTGATTCCTTCTTTTGCAGCCCATTGCCCCTTAGCATCTCCTTGTCTTCGCTTAACCTTCACACTCTTGGCATCAAGGTTACGTTCAATGTCTGCAAGGCTAACTCCGGCAGAAACTGCCTTTGTCAAAGCAAAGTAGATGAGATCTGCTGCTTCGAAAGCAATATCTTTCTTTTCCTTGGCATCACAAAGTTCCTCTGCTTCTTCCATAATTTTGGCACGCAATAACTTTTCATCCGAGAAGAGACGCGCGGTATAGGATCCCTCAGGTGCCGAAGCCTTCCTCGAAACAAGAGTCTTCTCAAGCTTGGAAATTCCCTTATATTCGCCAAAACAAGTCGATTGTGGTAGGTGGCAAAATCCCCGTCCTTCTTGCTTGACCACAAATTTCAAGCAGTCCTGGTCGCAATCCAAGGACACTCTGATGAGTTTTTGTGTATCTCCAGATGTTGCCCCTTTGTACCATAAGCCACGCTTCCTGCTTTGGTATACTCCGGTTCCTGTTTTCAATGACTCCTTTAAACTCTCCTCACTACTGTACACAAGTCCCAAAGCTACTCCTCTCTCATCTGTAACCACAGTAGGAATCAATTTGTCTGTTCTATCTGAAGTCCATGAATCCGCAACCAATTTTGGAAGAGAAACTTGTCCTTCTCCAGCCGATTCGATGCTAAGGTGTGTCGTAGGTATGATAGGAATGGCAGAGAAATCTTTGGCAACTTTAGAAAGTAATTCGAAATCGCTCTCGGGGGTTGGTAGAAGGAAGATTGGAGACACTTTCTTGGTCTTGAATTCTTCCAGCAGAGATCGAGTATAAGCTTCGTCGACAAAAGCGAGCAATCCTCCATTGGGAAATTCGACATCCGTCTGCGGCTGTGGGATGATTGGAAGAACACGGTCTGTATGCTTGTCCAAGTGTGGAAGCTGTGATGGCTTCACAAATACGGTGCGAGCTCCAGCATCTAGAATCGTAACAATGTCGTCGATAGATTCAATGGTAGATACATCGACATACGTCTCAATGCTAACGTGTCTCTGCAAGAATCCAAGGAGAATATCGATGGTGTCATTATTCGCTGTGAAGTAAACGCACCCCAGATAAGATAATTGGTCTCTTGTGAGTCCTACTTTTGATTCCGCAGGACCATTCCCAAGGTCAACACTGGGAAGCAACGGAAGTGAAGTTGTAGTATCCATATTGAAGAACGATAGCAAGATCTTGAAATTCAATGAGAATTCCAATGAAGTTTGGAGAGAAGTGAGTCAACATCTAGAAAGAAAAAGTTCGATCCGACAAATAACTGGTTATGTAATGGAGGGGCAATCAATCGAGTGAATGATACCACGAAAATAAATTTAAGGTGCGGTCTGTGCTGTATCGGGGTTATGCAGCTGCATTCATTGTCCATTGGCGTCACAGATATTTGAGCTTCCAGGTGTAAAATGTACTCACATTACAATACAGATTTCGAGATTGTTCGACAGCTTTTTAATTAACCTACGATGCTCAACAGAAAATAACCTTCGAGCAATATACGTCTTCTTACAAGTTAAGCTCAACGACAGAACCTCACGCGACCAACGATTCAATCAACTCACATTTGCGACGCAATCAAGGAAAGATTCATCCACAAACATATAATAATCTAGAGCGCAAAAATCCTCCTCCATCTCCATCATGGCCGACATGAACGGCGACTCCCAACCTCAAACCAACGGTCAAAACGGGCACCCCTCGCCACCACCCCCCACACAAAACAGCTCCGCGCCGCTCTCCCAACCCCTCCCATCCGCCTCCGCAGCCACGAGCTCCTCGACGGCGCCCAATCCCAGCGTGCCCCTCACCTCCCTCCAAGACAACGGATTATCGAAACGCCCGCGCGACGCACGTCTCATCCACATGCTTCTCTCCTCTCTCGGCGTGTCCGCATACCAAGAACGCGTTCCGCTGCAACTGCTCGATTTCGCATATCGTCACTCCTCGTCTATTCTCTCCGATGCGTTGCATCTCTCTTCCGACGCCTACGTATCACAGCAGATGCGCGCGCGCGATGCGCCGCCTGGTGGGGGATTTAGAGATGCAGATGGACAGGTTAGCGCGAATGCAGTGCAGTTGGCTATTCAGAGTCGATTACAGTATCAATTTGGTTCGGGCAATGGGGGTGGATTGAGCAAGGAGTTTTTATTAGAGACGGCGCAGGCGAGGAATAAAATTGCATTGCCAAGGGTTTTACAGAATGAATGGGGTGTGAGATTGCCGGCTGAGAGATTTGTTCTTACGGGTGTGCCATGGGGGTTGAAAGATGAATGGGTGGAGGATGATGAAGAAGAAGAGGAGGGGCCAATTGGAGAGAGTATGGAAGGTATCATAGCTGGTACAGAGGAGGATAATCTCGAGGGCGATGAGGAGGGTGCGGGTGACATGAATGATCTATTTGGCACTGGTGGAGATATGGATGAGGACATGGATAAAGAGGAATAATGGGTGTACGTCCAATTCATAATGGCTGGCGTTTGGGATTTAGACCTGTCGCAGTGATACACACTATCGGCAGCAGGAATTATATGTTTCGAAATAAAACATAAGTTGCAAGTTGGGACTTGAGTGTGATTATTCTCTGTTCCGTGTTGTCTCACTTTTCTTCCAAGCAAAAAGTAAGCAGGAAATCAATAGAAACTTTCAAGCCGACAATATATTGATTGAATGGACTCTCGAACAGTCATTCAATATACAAGAATCTCAAACCTGCAGAAATCTCAAACCTACAGTATCTGTAAACTCGAGACAAATGGAACGAAAAGTCTACACATCAAAATCAAATCTTCACACGCAAAGACAATCACGGCACTGATCATGAAGCAGAATCCACATTGAGATAAAATAATATTATTATTTGCATACACCATCTACCCTACCACTTCCTTCCTCCCTCCTCTCCATAGATCTCCCCACAAGTAAGAGAAGGAAAAAAAAAACGATGAAAAACGAAAATGAAAAACAAAGCAGGAGACAAAATAAGAATGTTTGTCACGATTAGTCCTCCTAGCGCACTATTCTACGCCAACAGGGTGGAATGGACTGGCTGTCTAGGCCGTTGGTTCTATATCCCACGAACGATATTTAAAATAAGTGACCTCAAGTCCACGAAGACGATCAGGAGGTAGGCAATATGTGGTTTTGTTTTCTTGGTGCGGATTGTTGCATCTTCTTGCGACCAAGAGAGAGGAACTGAAGGGGAATTGGAGGGGATGGAGGGAAGAGAATGGAAAGAGAGATACAAACCTGGATGGATAGAGGAATCTCTGGCGTGAGATGAATAGAATGGAGGGAGGAACGATAGATGAAGGGAGAAAAGATATGGTTGCTATGAATAATATAATATAATATCATTCAATACCTTCTCTCCTTCTTCATACCATGAATCCTAAATCCTCATCCCCAAAAAAGAGACGAAGAAAATCCTCATCCTCATCCTCATCCTCAATCAATACCATTGTTGTTTGTTTGTATGAATGTACACAAAGAGAAACTCTTTCCTAGAAAAATTTCTTCCCTAATAACCCCCTGCTTAGTCACCCATCCACTAGCCCATCCCATCCCACTAGTCTATGCACAGACCACCTCAAATTTTCCACCCATATCAACTTCTCTCCCGAAATTTTCTATCCTTCTTCTTCTCTCCTTACACTTAAAACGCATGATTAAATCAACCGCTTGAAACCACTCACCAACTGGCTAGTCGGTCATATTTGCATGCCAGAATGAATATATTGTTGGTGACGCGGTTTGTATCTACCTCGTAGGTATGAATTGATAGTTGAGGCGGAGTTTTCCTCGCGGAAGTGATGCCTGGGTTTGCGGAGCTTATATGACATTTGTATGCATATGCATGAGGAGTTTTGGGGGTGAGATTGGGATTTGAGGTTCGCGTTTCGAGTTGAGGAATGGGAAGGGAAGGAAAAGGAGGGTTGTAGTAATTCAATGTGTAAGATTTATATTCATGTGTCGTTTCTCTCTATGTATTGTTTCTAAACGCTATGCTGTGGTATAAATTCAAATCATCTCAATACGCTATGCGCCATGCTATGCAAACCCAAACATTACCAGTCGTGCCTCATCTACCTGTATGCACACCTTTAATCATCTTTCCCCTTCATCGTATGCTTTTCATCCTCATCATCCTCTTCTCCTTCATCGTCCTTCTTCCTCCTCTTAGTCTTTTTCCTCTCCGCCTTCAACGCATCATGAACTTCTTCACTTCCCTCATCAGCCTTCTCATCCCACTCCACATCATACTCATCAGCAATGCTCTTGATTTCCTTCCTCAACGCATTTGCCTCTTCAATCAATGACTCCCATTTCTGCAAATCAAATCCTTTCGCTTGATACAACGCACTTTGTCGTCTCGAAACCGTCAGATTAAGCGCCGCCCTATAAGAAACCTCTCGATTATGATAGAGAAACCACAAGTAACCGAGAATAATCGTCGATAAACCTGCTAGATACGTAACCGGTTCCATGGTATCCCATCCATAAGAAGTCATGAAGGTAAAGTAATAGATAGCACCCCACCACGACACAAGCACGCCAAACCCACCCATGGCAAGATGTCGCGCTCCTCGGTGTGCAAGCTCATCGCATTCTTTCTTCACTTGCGCATAATTCGCCAATTTCCTGCTGGTTTTGCGTAGACGAACTCGGAGGTAATGAGTTCGATCGTTGAAAGACGGCACCCCAACGCGAATCTCATGAGATGCACCTTCGATCTCGACTGCGAATTCCTTTCCCCGCGCAGCATCACGAATGAAATCTCCAATTTCAGTCGACGAAGACCAGCGAACAAATTTCACTTCTCCCTCGGAAGATTGTTCCCGTCCACGTCCCGAGTAACTTTCTACTCCTCCCTCGCCAGGTCCTCCCCTTAATTCACTTTGTATTTGTTTCTTCTCTTCGCTTGATATATTTTTGTCTTTGGAGCTATTGATCTTCCCTAGTTTCATAATTTTTCCATCGACCATCTGTTCGTCTGTTCCCTTTTCTGCTTCTCCATCCATGTCATCTCTTCGAGAATCTGCTTTAATCTCACCTTGTGCGGAATCTTCAGCTCGGAAATACACTTCGGGCACTTTTTCAGTGTATCCATCTTTCGCAGTTATCATGGGCAGCTCGGATTGTATAAGTCTTTCCAAATAGGAGAGAGGTTGCTGAGGATGCACGAGAAGAGCCAATGGCTCGATATCCTTACGATCAGAGTTCTTATCCCGCGTGGTCAAAGGCAAAATGAGCTTTAAAAGTCGAGAAGGGGTGGTAAGTAGTTTGCCTGTATTATAACTGTTAGACAAGATTCTCGCAGGAGCAAAAGGAGAGAGAAATCAAGAAACCTTTTGTCATAGCCCCAGCACTCCTGTTTCTCTTCACAGGCGGTTGGTCGGCACCTTCTCTATGCCATGGTGTTCTTGCTTGTATTTCCTTCTGTTGACCAATTGCATTGTCGAGTTGATTGTTGAACCAATCTTCTTCCTTGTCCAGTCCCTTTTGACTCAATTCCTTGGCCTTTTCAGTGTGACTCTTCTCTTCTCTCCAAATGTTCGTCGAAGTAAACGTGCGAAGACATGAGAACGGGCTCTGTTTTGCAAAAGGTTGTGAAGCGGCTCCATCTCGAAAAGTACCTACGAATGAGGCTGGTCGGTACGTCGTTTGGGAAATACTCCGCGGTAAAAGATGTGTTGCTCGTCGCATGTTTGCGACCCCTTAACCTCTATCCCTATCCCTATCTCGATCCTGAGAAAGTGAGCTCACGGTAACAAACAAATATCATCGAAATGGCCATTTCTAAGTGCCTGTCCCGTTTGCCGTTTGCTAGTTGTGATCATGAGCTAACCTTGACCTTGGAAGTTCTGGAAGTTGAGAGCTCGAATGCTTGATCCCTGTCATCAATGACGTAATGCGGCTGTGTCTCAAACCCTCCAAATCTAGCTGGAGTGCGCAGGTACGAATGTTGATATGCTTATACTAGGTATGAAGAGATCGCCACTGACGAACAGATCGTAGCGATCTCTCCTGACGATATATCTGACTGTAACTACTAGGCAATCAAATCGATCATTGAATTTATATCAAGTGACAGGCAGAATAAACATTTGTAGGGAGTTGAAAAGATGTTATAATATTAAATAGCTATATATGTTTGGTTGGAGATACATGACTTCTCGTAAATAAATACAGATTCCGAAAGATCTTTTCTTAATGGTGAACCCCTCCCTATCTTGAATATGGTTGAAAAAATAGTCTATCAATGATTTACTTTAAGCTGCATCAATTTGACCTTTGACTGGAGAAGTTCCCACACTGCGTTCCCCCTGGGCACGGAGTCATCGTCTGTGTGTGTAAACGAGCGATGCTCCCAAGGCGGACAGTAGCTAGGCATTTTCTTTAATAAATCTCTCTGCACACACTGTAGCATCTTTGTCGCTTGAGACTCTGGATCCATTGCACTCCAGTCCAGCTCCACGAACTCTGATCTATCCGCTTGCTCTGATTTGTCCTCCGCATCGTAGTACAAAACGATGTCCTGTAATTCATAGCCCAGATAAATGTGAGAATCAATAGCGTCAAAAATGTTGGTCCAGCTGAATGTCGAGGTTTCGTCTTGAACCAAGCAGCCAGGGTTATAGTTACTGAAGTTGCAGATATTGAATGCACGAGAAATGCCATTTGTCGTGGCGAGTTGCCTTAAGAAGCCATCGTGTACCCTTCGGCCCCATCCATCGGGGGTTAATCGTATAATATCGGTATCAAAATTGCACCATATCTTTGCTTGTCTTTTCTCGCTTTCGTAAATATCCTGTCGGAAGCAGAGAGAGTAATGTTTCAAAGCCTCCTCTCTTGATTCTTTGCATGCGTACAGGACATCTGGTGCAGGTGTGCTTGACATAAAGAGAGGGGGACCAGATTGGTAAAAGTGGTTCAACTTTACATCGAACTCAACATCGACTCTCCGCTGCTGTTTACATGCCATGCCCCAGATCAACAGTCTGATCTCGGTAGGAAGGTTTCCAAAACAGGTAAAAGTGGTTGCGGCAATGTTTGATCTGTCACTTCTGGCTCTGCGGTCATTCTTTGGAGATATTTCCTCAAATGATAATGCCGGAGATGGCGGCGCCTGTGGCACGGTACCAAAACTTTCGACTTGATACTCGAACTCGTCGATGTATGGAGGTGACGGGGGTGCCATCTCAATGTGCTTGGTCTTCAAATCTTGCATCACATCTGATCGAAATCGAGAAAATCTTTGTGATAATGTATTCATCTTCATGGTCAAAGCAAAGCTGGTGTGTAGGGACTAGATCTCTTGTCCTCTGATGTATGTGTGACTGCTAATCACAAGAGTTGTAAGGTGGGGTGATGTATAACTTGAGTCGAGTGGTTGTGCTACTATGTTAACAATCAAATGCGATGTGGAAGGTGTCAAGCTGGATAGTTATATAGAAGATTCAAGAGTGTATACGGAGACTTCAGCATAAGCTGGGGGAACCAAGCCTTTTCACTTGCAGCTGAGAGCATGCATGACCCCGCCCTACAACTAGTAGCAGCAGCTCATAGCCCACGTACGCCACCGGTCATTGTCCCAAGAGATTCCGACTCGCGATGTGGACTTTTTCCGTCCCTAGGTGGACTCGCCAAGTAAGGTTTAGAGATTGAAGAAAGCAGGGAGGTATCCAAAGTCGATCATCCAATATATCAGCTAGATTCATGATCGGTCCTAGAAAAATCGAAACTGATAGCATGAATCATTCCTCTCATTTCCAGATTTTTAAAATGCGATCGTCGAGTATGGGTTAGAGAGAGTGGCCTTTGCATGATTCTGGCGAATTTAGCGTGGAAGCTATTCAATGTCGGCGAACGCGGAGGCCGATACCACCGACCTTTCCTGCATTCACACCAATCGCAATCATGTAAAATTCTAAAATTACCTGTCATGCATGTTACCCACAATTCAAACTCTGGCGGAAAACTCAACCTCATCATAAATATGGTCATCATCATCAGATTGGTCTCTGGATTCCATGACTAAGACGCAAAATCAGTCAAGAGACGTCGGGAGGTTTTTCCCCAATTTCCACCCTGCCGGAGTACTCCTTTAACATTTATCACGAGAGCACGGAATTTCCCACATTCCTCCGAGGACCCAGTCGACGGCTTGTTCAGTTGTTGGAGGGACAAGCGAGGGTGTTCCCGATCTGTCAGATGGTACAGGAGGGACCTACGATACTTTGTCCATACTAGGTAGGCGAGGTAGGCGAAGTAGGCGAGGTACACAGGTAGTACACAGGTAGTACACACACAAACTTGGAATATATAATACCATGTACATACGTAGCTACATACATACATACATACACACATACATACACACATACATACACACATACATACACACATACATACACACATACATACACACATACATACATACATACATACATACAATACACACATACGCAACTAGAACGAGTCGGATGGATTCCGCCAGTTAGACCCAAGTCACGAAAGCCATCCATCAATACCTATGATCGAAAGACTTTTTTTTTCCAACATCCATCCCATCCCACATCGCACATTACTCTACTCGAAATCATATCCTGAAACCGTTTAAAAAAGAAGACAAGCACATCGAATAAAATCGAATCTTCCGGTGTGTGATGTACATGTCGTTTGAGACCAAATAAGGTTCACATTAAAGGTTCTTATATTATGGATGTGGAAGGGTTCACTCATTCTTAAGGTTTGAGGGTCTCTACCGGTAGTATTTCTGGTATGGACCGGATGAGCCAGTACCTATCGATTGGGGTTCACCCCAAAGGGAACGCTTTGACCAACGGAACGGTTAAAGCTGTTTAAACGCTGTTTTTGGCATAATTCTATTCTCCAGGGGTATTTCAGACTCACTTACCCAGTAATTAAAGGTGCCTAGTAGGTGAAGGTGGCTAGTAATCTTATCAAATCAGTGATACCGGTATAGCCTACAGCCATCAAAATTCAGACACCATCAAGGACATCATCCATTCTGGGGGATAGCATAGAGAAGGGGAAAAAAGGACGGAAATCTGATCAGCTTTTGCATACCTGCTAGAAAATGTTCAATAATTTGATTGTCGCTTTCAATTTTAATATACGATAAACCTGCAAATAAGCTTCAATTAAGCTTCAAATAATCAAAAGCTAATGATCATGTTGGTCTCTTGACATTTTACATTTGCCATTCATTGGCATTCTTTTCATTTGTTGATGTCGTTGATAGAAGAGGTCGGAGAGGTCGTTGGCAGGTGAACTCCTTCAAAAAAGTCCTCGTGGAACCCGCCCCCGCCCCCCAAGAATCCCAAATCACATCATATGATCATACATTGAAACCAGTAGAACTTATACCTACATATGAAACCTAATAAAAACACTCTTGCCGTGCACAAATGATTCCGCAAAACCTCCAGCATGATGATTTTCCCACAGACCCTAAAACCGTAACTGCATCACTGTACAAAAAATGGTGCTGATAGCCTTAACAACCACGTTGTACCCAAGGAGATAAATAACAGGTATTTTCAATTTCTATGATATCACTTGTGATAGCTCAATTAATGCAATCAACATCGGCCGGTAGACTGGCTCCGTATCAGATTGCGCTTTGTGGAGCTTCCCCGTCGTTCCATTTCCATCTGAAGGCTAGATGAAACGTTGTACAAGTGTACTCTCTTAGAGCCTGAATGCATTTTCATGCATTTGTGTGGCGTCGCAGTGACACCCTCCTTTTGGTATCGCTCTTGCTGGACCAATTGAAAAAGTATGGAAAGGCGAGATCTGTTTTTACGGAGGGATGTCCTACTCCTTCTTACATTGCTTCAAAATCTTGGCCACCAGCATATACCCTTTGTTTTGCATATGCAAAATGCAGTCCTGGAAGATACGTGAAGGGGGGCAGTGAGAGGTTATTGAATGTAGCTGCTGTGGAAGATATTGTATAGGTAGTGAGAAGCTACAGTAGTCCGACGTACCCAGTAATCGGTAAGACTGATACAACTTTGACATGGTGGGATAGTCGATTCACCAATTTTTGAGTCCAAAACTGTCAAATCTATTATACACAATTGGAGCAGGCGCAAGTGTCCCAGGAAACGAGAGCCGAATGTGGTCGGGGATGTTTAGCGCCAAGATTGATCAAAGAAACTAATAATCATCTTTTCTGAAGCTGATGTCGTCAATCGTCTTAACAATCGTAACAAGTTTCAGGTAGGGTCAAGCTTCAATGAAAAGGCTGGGCTTGCAATCTGATTGGAAGCGAATCTATACATAGTAGAAAGAAACATACACTTAACATCAGACGTGTATCAGCTTCTCCATCCCGCAGTCGCGCTTGTAGGTATTGCATGATCGTTCCTCCCCACAATGCCATGCAGTCGCTCACAAAGCCTTTTTCGGTTTTGAAGGGGCTCGATCCAAGACGGGCAAAACTCGCCTCAAACATCAGGAAAATTATAGCCGAGTTTCAAATACTTCTATTCTTGGTAACTAATGTAGCTCAGGCGGGCTATTTTTGATGCACATAAATACATCGAAAATGATTACCCGCGATGCCAATCATGCTTTGGCATAACTGACCGTGAATTCAAGGATTTTCGTTGCTTCAAAATCCCCACATATTCCATTTTGGCGGGTGTGGATGGTGCATTTTGATGTAAGTTGAAGGCGGCACGTATTGCTTGTCAGTTGTCCATGAAACTCCACACGATCAATTATTGAGTGGAGTAATAATTGTGGGTAGATGAGCAAGATAGAGGCACGCCCGATCTATGCGGCACCATCGATCTCACATAAGTGTGCTGTGGTCCATATGAGGAGCGACTTACTGGCGTGAAAATTTTCTTGGGATTTTCATCGCGAGAAAGTTGGCGTCGTGCAACTATCGTGCTATCGTATCAGCAGGGTAAATATTTACCTGTGAGCAGAAACGTTTCATTCTCTTTGATGTGTCGAGGTTGCATTGAGTATTGAAACAATCACAATGCGGGCGCTTCGAAACATTCTCTTCGCAGCTTCATGAATGCAGACTGCTTGTGAGGAAAGGTGATTTCTCGCTCTTTGACGAAGCCAGCTTCTTGCAAATGTGAGATAAACCTAGGGTAAGTTAGAGAGAAGGACTATGATGAAAGCAAGAAAAGCTAGAGAAACAGAGAAATACCTCTCGTTGTCCACTCTCGGCTCAAGCACAAAGGAATTAGTCCTGTAATCCTGTACCAGAGCCCAGTGCGCCAAAGCAGTGATCCAGCATTGCACCCTATGCTTTCCCCGGTATTCAGGTTCACCAACCAGAACATGAACACCACGATCAAAATCTCCTACGCTATCGCCTACATGTTTCCCAAGGATATCTTCTTTTGCCCAATACAATTCAAAGTATCCAAAGGGCTTACCGTCCCAGAGACCAATGACGGGGAACGAATGATTAGATGTCAGATTGGCTTTGAGAAATTCTTCCTGTGTAGCGATTGGACCAGAGCAGCCCCAAAATCTATCAACCCGAGGGATATTCATCCAGCGGTTTAAAAGCTGGAGATCTGTCATTTCAGTTGTATCGTCTATTTGATCTGTGATGGTGCGAGAGTGTACAGTTTGCGAATCTGCGGACAAGCATGCCCCAATAGAGGAGATCGCCGTGCTCTTGGCATGGTCTTGGAAGAGTGATAAGCTTGAGGCTGGACCGTTATACACCACAGGCTTGGAGGACAAGGAAGCGACTCGAAAAGACAAGTATTGCCCTACACTAGGGATGTAACGTGTATAAAATGTTTCGCCTTGGCGGGGTGGCTTGGGACGCAGGGGATGGCGCACACCTGATGTGTTCGTATATTGGGTCGGAGGTGGTGGATAATATGTCGGCAAATGGCTTCCAGATGAGAAAGGACCAATGGAAGCTGGTGACCATGGCCCTGAAGAAGTAAATGAATCAGTGGAATCTCTCTTATTGGCGGGAGACTGGTTGCTTGCTATATCACGGATAGGTGAGCCCGGTCGGCTGCTCTGCGGGGAAGCTAGAGATAGATTCGGGCTGAAAGTAAAAAGGAATAGCCGTGCCGACAGTTGCCAGAATGCTCTCCTTGAAGTGAACATGTTTGACCATCCCTCGGGTGTATTCTCATCTATTGCGAGGCCAACTGAACAATCATCCGATGTAATTAACCCCATTCTTTCAAGCTTTTGTATCAAGTTGCGACCCCGCAGCACACCTTCTCTCCTAATATGTATGCGCCAATCTGCCTTTGGCTTTCCAGCATCAGGTGTCTTTTTTGAAGCGGCTGTGGTAACATATGGGGACGGTTCTGGTAGGTGGAAATACCAGTATAATGTTGCCCAGAGCATCATCGCGATCTGCCGAGTGGGGCTGATAGGAGCTTTGAAATCATTGCTCGAGGGGTTCGAAATGGAAGAAATAAAGAGGCTATCATTGCGTAAAGTTGGAATTCTGAAAGGGTGTATGTGTCGATGCCGTTCCGCTGGCGCATCTTGGAGCTCTATAGCCTCAGAATCGCTGTTTAAAGGATGTTCATCCGAACAATCCTCGGTCTGGATAATGACAGTCCAGCCAGCAGGGAAGATGCTGCTATGTGTGTTCAGCTCATTAGCCTTAAAAAAGAAGCCTCCAAAAACAGGGTTGACTGTTATATGGTAGCCATTTGGCAGATGCACAATCGTAGAGACCATATCCTTTGACTATGGTACACAATCGACGCGACCGGAAGTTTTACTGCTTGCTTGAACGCGATAGTACCTATTTATTTCGCATTGATCATTAGTTATAAGAACAGTGCAGAGCAAAATAAATATCTTGGAGAGCATGTCTGGCGGCAGGTGTGGAGGGGTAGCACGACGAGGTGAAGTGGGGTGTTGTTGGTAATGCGAACTTCTCGAGTGGAACGATGAGAGGGCCACAAGAGACGCTAGTCACTCAAATCACTGGGTAGGTAGTCAGTACTAATAAGGATTTCGTTACTCTGTGTATCATGCGGTTCCTTGTGAGTCCACTTCTCTTGAAAGTCTCGGGATGATTCTGATAAATCAATTGTCCTTCATAGGTCGCCGGTGCATTCAGATGATTGTTATATGAGCAAAAAGTGGGTTGAAGAGACACTGGTGGCATGGACTGCCTCGAGAACTACTCGTGCTAGCTGGGTAGATCAGCGCATCATTCTTGGCCTTGGCCTTGGTGGGGGATAGGGTAGGATAGGGTTCTCTATCCACGGAAGACTTCCCTGGCTCGAGCCTGGACTCTGAATTGAAGTGACTGTTATAAATAGATATGCATCACTTTATTAATAATGAGAAGAGTCGTATCTGACATTCGATATATAAATGCAGGCAACAGTCGTCTAATATAGGAGGTTTGGACAAACTATAAAAGATTCGCGCATTCTGAAATTCTAGATTTTTACCTCGAGTAACATGATGTATCATGAAATGAACTTCATACCTAGCCTCCTAGTACTGTATCTACCAATCAGTACGAATGGAATTTGGTGAGTACAAGCTTTCTCCAATCACAACGCCGACGTGTATCAGAAAGGAAGCCAGCCCTGGCGTTGAGTACATATACGTCATAATATGGAAATGTATCAAGTTACTTCTAACTTATTGACTTTGTCGTTCAATATCCAACCACTAGTGGGTAGGGAAATTTGTTTGACCACGATTTACAGCAGAATGTGATGGAAACGAATCACTGCAATGGCACGGAATCATTTCCACCATTTCATGTATCCAATGTTTAATCAAGACTTGCAGATCAACCAGACTCAATGCGAGCTCTTCCGCCGTTCCTGTACGACTGTCTGAGGTGAGTTGTCAATAAATCGAAGAATGACAAAGCTAATGTTTGCAAGTACATACCATAACGCTGGGTTTGAGGTAACATATCTAATGAGTGATATATCTGCACGCTGTCTAGCTCGTGTAAGCTAGGTAGGCCAGATCAATCTATGATCTACAGCTGCACAAGCCAACAAGCCAACAAGCCAATTGACATAAGTTATATCACCGTCGCTAGATGGAGGGGTATAATGATTACGTGATCAACAGCAGATTGATAACGATGTATTATTTGAACCTGCCTAAGGTTTTGAGACCTACTACCTCTGCCGTCTGTGAAGGGAAGTTTACATAAAACTAGGTATACACAATGCTCTATAGGGTGACTATACTGACAAAGTAGCTATTTTTGACTCGTATGGAGTCAGGACAATCCAGAATGTTTTTTCTTTCAATGTTAAAGGGGGTTCGTTCCCCCGACGCTTTTGTTGACTACATCAGGTATGAGGTTACATTTCGAATGTCTGCAAACCGAATGATATGCCCACCCCCTGAACCAAGGTAATCTATTTAGGATGTCAGATCCACTAATTGATAGCAGATGTATCTTAAAAGATTGGGTAGGATGAGATATGAGACCTAGTATCTCTGGGATGGTGAGTGGCAGCTTCTCAATTACAGTCAATAGCAAAATCTGTTTGGTGTATATTTACACGAGTCCAGTGGTAAAACCTACTCATTACTTCATAGGGTGCATGAGACTCGGAGCAGTACCGGCATAGACTTCTTCTTGCTGTCAACATTTTATCAGAACCAGATAATCATCTCAGGCCAAGCATGGCTGATTCCTTTGATCGCCTTACAAAGCATTGCCCAAAATGGTAACACCTGCCTTTAGATATCAAAACAGTTGTTGCAGCAGGGATTAGATGCGGAAATTCGACTTTTGTAAGATTTCCTTTCATGGGGGTTTAACTTCGTTTCCCCTGCGAATGAATATGTATTTTGGGGTGGTGCAGATATAGGTGTGTAGAATCTCTGCGTCACCCATTGACTCATGAATATGCCGCCCGTAGCGACATTTAAGTCGTTTTTTGCAGAGTATCAACACGGCTCCGCAGGGTCTTCTGTGCAACTGAGGATTCTTTGAGGTAATCCGAGTTAAGCGGGTGGTTTCGGCGTCGGGAGTCTATCCGATATCAGTTACCCCGAACTTGCAGATGGCCGGTATACGCTTCCGGTCAACCCAGTACATTACTTGACTAGGATTCAGTCCTTTTTACCATAGAATCATTGGTAAAGAAAACGCTGCTGCCATCACTTTGTCCCAACCAAATTGAACCAATGTTTGTCACCCCTGCCATATGCATCACTTTCTACTTACGCCAAATGCTATGAAAATTAGACGCCGATGATATGCATCGAGAGATGCGGGCTTCACAGACCCGAAGGTGGCACTGGCCAATCTTTTGAATCTTGTAAACCCATAACTTGCCACCCTTTTATACGTAAAGCCCTGCAGGCAACGCGGCTACCTAATATTGCTACAATGGTCCCGTAAGTTCGCTATGAGTATCGCAATTCTCTCCATCCATACTGCACGTCCAGTCTTTAAAAAGCGGAAACTCGACAAGCCCCGTCATGTCTTCACCTGATCTAGGCCCTTTGGCAATGAGTCAAACAAAAGATGACCTCGTCAAGCATTTAAACATTAGTGCGGAGACGTATACCCTGATGGCGGTAAGCATTCATTTCAACCAAACTAACCCCGTTGACTCGACCTCATCATTGCCAAATTGAGAAGCTTAATCAATAGAGTGCTTACTTATCTTGGCCACCACTTCAGAAAGAGACAGATACGGTCTATAGGTGGCTCATTTCGGAGAAATGCCACCTCAAGAAGAACTGCAAAGGAAAACCTCCGTACGATTGGAGCGATATTGTTGAGAGATCGAAGGATGAAGCAATGAAGCTGATAGTCCAAAATGGTACTGATAAAACGGCATACTACTGGAACTTAGCCAAGCCGACTCTCGATTGTCCAAACTGGATAGCAAGATGGTTCTTATATCACAAATTTCGCTATCGAGATGGTAGGAACAGAAATATTAGGGCCGATAGTAGGGACAATGCTTCCTACAATTCCACGATCCCTTCGCATCACCATCACCAAAATCACCACCACTCGCATCATTCATACCCTTCACATCATAGACATGTACCAGTACAGGTAGATGAGCAATACAGCCACTCTTCGTACTATTCAAGTGCGTCCATGAATTCAGGTATGTGTGATGGCTTCTATCCACCAAAATTATCCACCCGAGCTAGAAGTAAAGAAATGATGTCTGTGTGGAACGTATGCACGCCATTTATCTCCCATGAAAGACCCTCTGTGCAGCATTTTGCCACTAGTCAATGAGTTAAACCATGGTTTTGGAGCTTCATTCTAACTGCCGACAGGAGACAGTCAGGGATACGACTATTCTTCCACTGGTGTGTACCCTCCCCGCTTCGCCACTACCTAGGGTACTAACGTATCTTTTCAGAGCCTAGCTCATCTACTGGTGGCTACGCCACCTACTCATCTAGTCAGGCATATCCACCATCGTCGTCGTATGCAACTTATTCGTCATCGCCGATCACCCGGGTGACCGGGCAGACGAAGCCATACGATCCAGTTAGAGATCTTTAGTCGCCCGGAGTACGAGACGCGGCTATATGTGGCATACCGCACACGAAGACATGATGTTATGAGTTTTTTTTGTTACGATAGGATGAAGTTCATGGCAGGCATGAATGCGAGGGACGCCGGGATGAATTGTTACGATAATCGTGGCAATATAGTTACTTGTTCGGTTATTGAGGAATCATTGGTCGACGTTTTACAACATGGAGTTTCATCTATTTTACTGCTGGGGAGGCATGTATACGAGTGTTCTCTAGGTCAGAAATTGACTTCAAAAGTGTTTTAATATCATAATATCAATACCATCTTCAACCACACCCTCTTGTGCAACCTGCTGATGCTTGTCTCAAGCATTATTCATACTAGTGGTGGAATGGAGTTAGGTATATCTAAATTCAAAGCACTCATACAAGCTTTGTGCACTAGAGGCATTCGTATTCCTACGCTAGACCATCTTGACGTATATTATTGCATGGTTTGTGAGTAAAAGTGTGGAAGCCCGTGTTCCTACTAAATTACAAAACTGGGAAACTTGGATGGCGGTACTGTATAGAGGGTCCAAAAACTTCCTGTCTTGGGTGGTTAGCCATGTTAAAGCCTCACATCTTCTACACAGCCTGAATAGTCAGACTCAAAGTATCTAAGAGCATGCAACTACATAATGAGGTAACAACCAATCAGAATCTCATTTCCAAGTATAGCCGCCACTTACAATAACTTAAACCTCGATTCGATTCGAATAAAACATAATGCGCCGCAAAAAAGAAACGAAACGAACATAAAATACCATCAATACCTCGAATTTCCTCGCTTCTGCGTAATATATTATACATACGATCTCCTGTTGAGCAGTAGTCATAAGCTAAGCCCCCCTTTAATTTCCTCCCACGCGATCAAGGTTACACATGCACGACGCGATTATCCGAGCCACCAGTACGTTCTGGGATAGTTCTCCAGCGATCCGGTAATTTCCGTGCATCGAGTAGCAGTGCGGTGCAGTGTGGCGAGTGGTGAGTCGGCGAGCCCCATGTCTTGGGGAATCATGTCGAGTAATGTTGGGTTCTTTGGAGTAGTGTGACTGGACCCTTTGTACTGTCAACCTTTGGTTGTCCAGGGTCTTTTTGCTGCAGAAAGGTTCCCTAAATGGTAGTTTTTGTGTCTCCTCATCTAGCTAGTACTATTAATGTTGGATGAATAAATCTTACATGATTTGAAATTGGAAGCTAATGGAAGTCTAAAGAGAGTTCTGGATTACCATTTGCTTAGCTAGATATATAGCTCAGCATGGCTCACAGTTTTCTAGAGAAATCTAGTGTTCTAAAGAGCTCTTCAAGTAAGGTCCATCGGAGGGACAATGGTAGTATGCAGTCTCTTCTAACCCCGTGGTCTCAACATGCAGTGTAAACTGAACCCAACGATACACAAGTTATGATTCATATAAGATCGATTTAGAGTTTCTATAGGCTGTACAGCTACTCGATCCTTGCTTTTGGAATTAGGTATGCAGTTAGGCGTAACTTTGAAGCATGGCTCCGGATTCACAAGATCATGGGAGTTTCTCAGATCCGATCATCCAGTGATCCCGAGTCTAGATATTACGGTTCAGGCTATTGAAGACCTTGTCCTGTCCCTGCATGCATACGGTATATTTCCCCGCTTTATTACACTAGTATGTCATAGAAACTTGGAGAACCGGACCCTATTGTGGGAATCCCAACTGTTCTGGAACTTGTCGACACAACGGCTCCCAACCATTGTTTTGAAGGTCTTTGCTAACTAGATTGTGCTTACTGTTATGAAGATGAATACACATATCATTATAGAGAATGCTTAATGCAGAATTACATTAATTGTGAGACAAGTGCCTGGATGATTAAGTCAAAGTGGTTTTCAGGCACCATCTTGGAAGTATCTGGCAATACATGTTGACTCGCGTAGAGCTGCCTGAATAAATAGATGGGCATTTCTTCTCACTTTGATCACATTCGATCTCCACATGGCTTGTTTAACAGCCCACGCCCAGGTCCATGCTATTCCTACAACAACCCGATCATAAGAGTTGAGATCTTGAATATTACACATGCGATATTTTTACTAGTAGTATGTACGTGATACATGGTGTTAACTTACTCAATGTACCTCATTATCCCATTTTTATATGGGCTATAACCCTTTCTACTTCAGGGTAACTTCAACGTCTTCCTCAAAGCTTAATAAGAACTGAAATGCCATTCCCATGTTCGTTTTTAATATATGGAATATCTAGGTGTTGAGTTCGATACAAATATTAGGGGTAATTGGACCTAGTACAGTTATAAGAGGTGATTGTTCGACTGAACGGCATTGGGAGTATTTAATAGCAATAAAAGTTTGGTTATAAGCAGTGGTAGACCGATTTGACCGTTCAGGTATGAAACCTGTCTTGTATGTGGAGCGTGGTGTTTCCAAGGAAGGAGAGCCTGGTAGCTCTGCTAAACTTCCTAAATATTCTGAGAACCAGTGCATTTATCAAACTTGTAAAGAACTCATGTTGTCTCCGGATATTCTCCTTTAGCTGTCAAGTCATAGGAGATGACAAGCGAGGACCATTATTCGTGTTCGTTCGGACAAATATCAAATCCATGATTGATTTTCTGGTAAGAACATGATCGCCGAGTTTTTATTCTCATTGACTGACTGTATCGAAATCATCCAATCTTGATTGTAAATGATAATGATGTGATGTGATATCGGTATGGGTGAATGCATTATTTGCTGCTGAATACTGTGTCACTGACGTATTTTGGTGTAGCGAAGACAGCGCGACTGATCTTTCTCCGTGGAAATAGCTCAATATTATTAGTATTATGGATGAAATCCCAGATCAAATCAAACTCCTATCCCCTGCATGGTTGAATCCCAATTCAATCCTGAAGCCACTTATTCACGGTAGAAGGAGGCTTAATATTAATATCTGTACGAGGATCAGATTACACGCACTCCTGAAGCCTGACATGATACAGTGGCATACAGTGGCATACAAGTGACACTATTTTTGCAATTCATTTGCAGTTGTGAAATTCCTCCTCCACAACACAAGAAAAGTTTCTACCAGAGATGTTACAACTCACATGTCATATATGGCCCAAGTATGTGATTCAGCTGTTGCTACGCTCGAAGAGCCTGCCGAGTATATCTATTTCCAGGACAAGATGCATCATAGAGAAATGGATAACGGGCGAGTAATCAATCGAAATGGAAGACGAGTTCCTATAAGCATTACCTGCAGTCAATCATCAGCAAATATGTTTAGAAAGTAGTATTTCCTTGAATGGTCCTATTGAATGAGATTGTGTATGTGCTAATCTAGAATTCATGGAAATCTAGGTCGAGTGGAAGGTTACAGTTAGAAGTCGAATGACTCAGCATTCAACATGCGTATCTAGTGGGTACTACCTACCTAGGTAAGATCTTACTTGGTACGTACTTCTAGAATAGGAGTAGATTGTCCCTGTCCATGCGAAACATAAATTCAATGTCAAATAAATTCGTCTTTCCTAAGGGGAAGGAGAAGAAGGGAACATCAAAGTTTTATATTATTTAATCACAACAGTAGATTTTATTCTCGCCACTTTGGTCCTGAAATTCATTTGCCACGAGGATTGGCACAACGAGATCTTCACATTTATTACTCCAGTGAGGGAGGGAATTTGGCAGGCTATTACGAATTCTTATTTGCAGATACCAATATCACCAGTCAAAATGCTTGTTATCGAAAGTCCTCATGTATACAGCTAAGATTCCCCAGATTCTCTCGTGAAAAGCTGCCATACTCATTATTTATTTGGGTTAAAAGAGTCAAATTTCAAGTGAACGGAAGTTTCCAACATCTACTTTACATTCGGCAGACACGAGCACTGCAGTTATGAGCTAAATCGGCTTCTTCAGTGCTGTAGGAATGCAAGAGTATCAGCATCTATCTTACATTGGGAAGAAGGCATGGCGGCCAACATGGTCAACAACTTTGAGTGGAGGATCGGAAATCAGATGTTGCCGGTTATAATCAGAATATTGTCGCACAAGTCTTGGCTGTTCAGTTACAGGCTAACTCCAATTAAACCACACCAAAATCTTCGTGCCGATGCGATGACTAAATGCCAGAATTTATGTGCCGATTCGACGTCTAGATGATTGGAAAACTTGCGGCGCCGGTGCCTATGCCGATCAGGTTTCGGGCCGGGCCGAGCTCACACAACTTTATATGCTCAAATACTTTCCTGCTTATCGTGAGACAACCGCGAGTTTGATCGATTCGACTATCACATTATGAGTGAGGTTCAATATTAGTATTCTCGCTACTGAGTCCTGACATACTTACACGATGATAATATTTGGTTGGAATATAAAGGTCGAGGCCTGTCCAAAAGCCAGGGGCTTTCCGTATTTCGGTTTGATATCTGAAGATGGATAGATGCATCCGAATGAGACCGCATTGTTCGACTTGAAAGAAAGATATAATACAGTATTATACACTTGCCGTTCTTGCGCCTTGAGTAACTCTCCAGTCACCAAGCGATAGAACCCACAGCATGCGCAGGTGTGACCGTGCCATTCCTATTACCTCAAATCTTCTCCAGAAAGAAATATAGACAGCTTTGGATGCTTCGGCTCGAGAATATGACAGAATCTTCGAAGGCTGTCATTCACTACGGATGTTTGGTTCGAAACTACTAATATTGCGTTTTGGATCATTTTTTCCAACTGGTACTGCATAAGAGCGGCAGGGGAGGGTAATGGAACACAGCCAAAATCATATGTTCCAAAATGATAGATTTAGCATCCGGCTCTGAGGCGGGTGGCTTGCCACTTCGATACATACCGACGTGCGACAGATATTGAATCGATTTCCGAAGCAACAATGACCTGCCGCCGACTGATGTGCAGGGGTTTATTCGCCCGAATGTTCATCGATCAAGCTTCAACTGGGGTGATAGCGATGTAGAGAGATTTTCAATCGCTGCACGAGTATAGATACTTGATACTGACCTGAGGCTTCAGTTCTGTTGAATGTATGGGTATCAGAGCAGTTATACTTGTTAGATTGTCACTCAACTACAACTACATCCCAAAGACTCTCATCTCCATTAAATCTATAAGGCACTAGGTACATCTTCTTAGATGAGACCTGACCATGCACTAACAATAATCCCTTGACAGAAGTGCCTTCGAGTTTGTATTCTAATACTTCTTTCCATCTTGAGATTGAAGTTAGCAAGTGAGAAGGCATTCTTTCGATAGCCAAGAAGCTTGGATGGTAATTAGCCGACAGAGGATGCCAAAAGAACAGAACACCACAATACAGAATTAGACTCGGAGATATATTGCTATGAAACTCCTGAACTACCTGATAATAAATTTTTCGCAGAAGTTCACTGACTCTTGAGGTTATTCCAATCGTCTCCTTTATACTTCTATGGCTCACAACAAGTGTAATAGATAAGACAGTGCTTAATTGTTCTGTCAAATATAGAAGTGAGGACTAAAGGCCTTGAGTCTGCACGTGTTTAAGATCAGACAAAAAGTAGTGGCTACAGTTCACAAAATGCCCTCCCAAAGATGGCCCAAACACGAGGAAGATATTCACTGTTTATTTGACCGAACCAAGTTTTAAAAGAGTTTTCGTTGCAAGTTTTTGTAATCACCCCTGTAAAAGCAATATGACTTGTTTTTAAAGAAAATTTCGCTTCAACTTGATTTTCTTGTTGCTATGATGTTGTTATCATACAAAATTTGGGGGATTATTCACTTTAGGTTGAACCGAGACTTGTGATTAGTTCAATTTCGTTGTGACATGCTTCCATGTTTTTCTTTCAAAGAGTTTCTACAAGTACCTATTTGACCCTAAGCTCATAGATAGATTATGTTGATGACAGTATGGAATTCAAAAACACTCAAAATTATCTTAGCAATACACAATCCACCTACTAAAGTTATAGAGATCCAAGAACATGAAACACATACCTGTCTATTGAGATCTCAGATGTATTAGTTATAAAGAAATATCTGCGTGCGTGGGAAATAATAGAAAGTCAGTCATTCTTGGAAAAGCCACACAAGATGGCAGGGAAATGTTTTCATATTCACTCATTTTCATCCTCGGAAATGACTTCAAATTTCATGAGTGGTGAGGGGGGTACTGTTCTTGGTCAAACTTCGTTATTAATATAACAAGAGAAAAAGAATATGTGGTAGTTGTTGCGTGATCTTTATCTGTCCAATATAGATATCTAGAGGCTTCCTCTCCCAAACAAGAAAATAGCCTCTGTATAAACTTGATTCTATTCCTATCTACCTACCAAACAACAAGTTCAAACCAAAGAACGTCGACCATTGAAGATATTCATATCCCCATAGTAATAACAAAGAAACCCCCAGCCTTCCTAAAATGATTGAGAGCCTCAGAACCTTGTTGTCCTCAACCTGAACTGATGTGGATACCGGCTCGGAATGATCCGAGGAGCTTCAATCATCAAGTCTCCTCTGGAAAACCAATAGAAATTTACTATTAGCCGAGGAAAAACTTGCTCAGCACACTTTCCTATTATTTTTCTCGACCGCTTCGAGTTTTTCTTCTTCTTTTTCCTTTTCTTTTTCTTTTTCTTTCCAACGAACCAAGATCACTACGAATGTAAGTACAATTTCTGTCAGCACCTTTCTTGAGGGATTTTAACTGACTGCAAGTGTATAGCGACGTTACAGAACTTGTTTGCACTACAAGCTCCTTGCTCACTTCTCGCTGCCGTCTTCTCGCCATCGTTTTCTCGCAATCGTCTTCTCATCATCGTCTTCTCACAAGCGTCTTCTCACAGTCTTCCCCTCACCGTCATCTTCTCACAATCTGTAAGTCTTCAAACTCTCCTCTTCAAGTCTTTTATCAAACCCCCCACATTGTACTGGCACAGCTCGAATATTGCGCGCTCTCTACCTGTTCTATGCAACTCAATATTCATATTGCACTATAGCAGCAAGAAATTTGAAAGCGCGCTCTCTGCTTTGCTTGTTATGCTATATTTCGTTGTGTCACTTGAAACTGCACATCGAAGAGCACCAAAGGCACTCTCTTCTTGAATTTCCATCTTGTTTTCTGCGTTTTGAGAGAGGATTAACAACTGGCCCACTTTGATCTGTTCTGCCTATGGCAGTATCAGTCAACTTGCCAGTTGAGCCTGTGGTTCAAGCTGCAGCAAAACACTCTCCTCCATCACTTCCCATCCTATCTCCTGCGTTTCGAAAGAAAGATGAACTATTGGTTTATTTTGATCTATTATGCCTGTAGCAGTATCGATAAAACCTCTGGTTGAAGTTTAGCTTTCAGTTGCTCCAGATAAACTCTTTCCTCTCCACTCCTCTTTCCACCGCTGGTTCTTCATGAGAATTTTGAAAACTGGAACTTTTCAGTCGGTCTTGCTTAGGTAGTTTGCTCAGTGTGCGAGGTCAAACTCCACATTGAAGAGCTCCGAAGGACTCTTTTCTTCCACTTCACATCTCACATCTACCTCGTTCTAGCGAAATCCAATAGGTTCAAGTTTTGGTGCCATTGCACCTGTTCAACACTTCTTGAATCATAAGCTTGAATGAACACCATGGGTTCATGTGTTGCTTTCGTCTTGCAATCCTCTTCTCTAACGTAAGTCATGGCGTAATGCGTCTAATGGCGTAATGCGTCTAATTGCGGGGAACCACTCTATTAAAATCTCAATTACTCAACAATCAACTATAATACAATCTCCAGTATCACTTTCAGATTCATCTTCAACTTCTTCTCCAATATCCTCTTCAGTTTCAGTTTCATATTCAATTACTTTCCCTTTCCCTTTTCCTTTTTTCATTGTCTGTACCTTAGTAGCTTTTTCGACTTCCACTACTGCATCACATAATTCTTGCGTAGAAATATGAAAATGACCCTTCAAAACTAGTCTCTTTCCTTTCTTACGTATCGTACGTTTCTTCATAATAGCTCGTAAATTATTCGCATCGTGTTGGTGAACAATACTTTGAGCTCGAAGTTGCTCACTCCCAATCGTCAATTTTCGAATGTATTGACGAACCGGGGTTGAAAGAGTCGTATCATTTTCAATTGTTGAATTTAAAAGGTTATTTGCTGTTTGTAAGATTGCTACATTTGGGGATGAGCTATTGACGAAGACTTGGTTAAAAATATCAAATTGGGTTGGTTCTTTGGATATTTCGACTTCGGGGGTAAACTCTCGACCCAATATACAGAACACTCTTTGTGGATTAAATGGATGTAATCCAGCTCCCCGTTATACCGATTCGATATTTTGATGATGGCATATGTCGGCTCGAGCTTTAATATATGCCTCTATTTATTCAATCTTTTGTATTCGTACAAGTTGAGCTTGATTCAAATCAGAAAGTGCTGCAATGAGCCGTTTTTTTCAATGGACTGAAAACCGCAACATCAAGTGGCTGAAGCAAATGCAAGGTATGAGGAGGAAGTATAAGAAGTACAATTCGATTTTGAAGGCAGTGAGCTATAAAGCTTCCACTAATATGAGAATCGTAGCCATTGCAGATGAGAAGCCGATATTTGCCACCTGCTTTTGCACAAGTTGCAGATTCGAAAACGCGTTTTAGCCATTCTAATCCATGAAGATTGCTTGTCCAGCCCTTTGTATTTGCTGAAAAGAACCAGCTATTAAGAACTTCCTTCGGAATTCAATTTTGAAGGACATTTTTATCTTTAAAAATCCTGAGTGGTGGAAGAATGGATCCATCCGCACAAATACACTCTATCATTAAAATCCACTCTTGATGGTCTGGATGTGCTTGATGTTTTGTATGAAGTGTAGAATCGATAATAATTCGAGTTGATTCTATTGTCCTAATTGAATGTTCAGATTTATCCATATTATATTCGTCTTTCTTTTCAATTCCATAATCCTGAATCGCTTTTTGATATGTGTCAAACCAAATACTACATGTTTCCCTGATTGCACCATCCATTCTTACAGATTCAATTCGATGGCCAATAACAACTGTAAGATGAGGATGTCGTTTGATAAATCGTGGAACCCATTCATGACCAAGAAGGTGTTGTGGTGGGAGTTCAAGGGAGTCAAATGAGGGGCAATCCAAATTATAAGTCCGTTTTGAACGTAACTCCTCAGCCAATTCTTTTAACAACTGATGGCCTGGTGAATAGCCGCTAATTGTCAATTGCTTTATCCACTTAAGAAGTACATTCTCTTGTACAGCAGAAAGTTTCTGTTGCGATTGATGTGCTTCAGAACGCGATGAACCCCCTTTGACGCGTCGCGTCACAGTATCTTTAGAAAGCCCCAGTTCTTTTGCAGCTTCATATGAAGACTTATACTTTCCATTTTGAACTCCTAATATTGCTTCAGAAAGTCGAGATTCCATTTCCTGCACTTTTAAACTTTTTTCGACGGACCATTGTTGAATTGTTGCTTTTTTGATGGGGTGGTCCCCCACAATTAGACGCATTACGCCATTAGACGCATTACGCCATGACTTACGTTACTCTCGTTTTTCTTTCAATCAACCTCGCTGATTCAATTTACTTCACAGTCATCATTCACAATGGCACCCGCTCTTCGCAGCGCTGCTGCAGAGAAATCTCGCCCTCGCAAGGAGGCTGCTGGAGTCAAGAAATCTTCCCCCCGCAAGGAGGCTGTTGCAGTCAAGAAACCTCGCCCCCGCAAGGAGGCTGTTGCAGTCAAGAAACCTCGCCCCCACAAGGAGGCTGCTGCAGTCAAGAAACCTCGCCCCCACAAGGAGGCCAAGATGAGACTCGACGACAGCATCGCTCGCTGCCCCGGCGGTACCCCAGCATACCAGCACAGAAAGGAGTTCCTTCTCATTCGTCCCTGTTGTACCGAGGGCGAAGTCATCATGGCACGCGGGGCCGATTACAAGCCACTGCGCACCTACAGAAACGTCGAGGATGGCAAGAAGAAGCCGGTCCGCCTTACTCGGGAAGAGTATTGCGTGATTCGAGATTGGCGTATCCGAAACGGGGTGGCTCCCTTTAGAGAGCCAAAGTTTGACACCAAGTGGGGTTGGAACCATGAAGACGCGTGGGATGTCTATTACATGACTCACACCGATGAGGATCCAGCCCACCGTTAGACTGTGGTGGCCTTACGGGCACTGGTGAGGAGAATCGTTGCCGTTTCCCCTCGCTTTAGTATGCCATCAGGATGTAGATACGTGTACCTAGTAGGACTGTACGAACGGTACGTATCACTCGCTTGGTGGAGGAACGAGCAGGGTCCGGCGCGGTTCTCCGTGGATTCGAGTAATGCGAAGCAGGATTCTATTGTATTTGATTTCTTTGGTAGATAGCGGGGGAAATGGTGTTATGCATGGCAGGGTTTTTGTAACAATGGTATGTGTGGAGGATATTGGTTGGGGGACCCTGGGACTGGGCTGGCGTTGTATTATGATATATTTGAAGGATTTGGTTGGAGACCCTGGGAGCGGGCTGTTTTTTCTTTAATAAGGTATATGAGGGAGATGGGGGGTCGTGTCTCAGTTCTCCAGGAATTAGGGAGTTGGTGGTGGTGGAGTTTTCTTTTTCGTGGTGTTCGATTAGTTGCCTTTGGATTGGTCTAGCCAACCATCCAGGAACTACGACACATCCTGCTGCGCCAGAAAGCATTGTCATCGCTCGAGCCTGGACTTCTCTCGCAATCCAAGAGTCACCATCGTTGTCTTGCACCGCACCAGTTGGAGAAGTCGGACAAGGTGTCCTGCGGCCGAAACTCGAACCATGACAAAGGCATGGTGTCTCTCTCTTCTCTCCTCCTTGTTCTTGTAGCCTCACACCAATCTGATGAAACTCGAACCATGGTTGTTCCTTTCCTCCTTCTCTACTCCTCGAACTCACAGCTGCGAATCAATCAACCCGCCGAGTTCCAACAAGCAGAGGACTCAATACATAAGACACCCACCTTGACTCAACTCACAAAACGTCATAGAGCACACCACACCACAAAAAACGAAATCCACCACCTCCATCTTCGACTTTCCATAAAATCTCTTCATCATTGTCTGTCTCTTCTGTATTTATGTACGCACTTCCAGATCTTCACTCTCGATAATCTCCACTCTTCAACTCCGCACCGCTCCTCGAGCTTCGCAATGTCTTTCATCGTCCATCACAATCACAAGCACGACAATCCCATCTCTCGTCAAGACGCAATACAGCCACGATTTCAAACCTCGGTGATAGACACACGATGCACAATGACAGATACCTTCTCACACCTTCAGCCAACGAGTTTCCTGTTTTTCGTTTTTGATACACAATGGATGAATGGATGCCCAGATGGATTAATGGTTTTCTCTTCAAGATTCATTTGCGATGGATGATTCAGTACTAGTTGATCGATGACCGGAATAGCTAGCTAGATTCATATTTCCTTTCCTTTTCTTTGCTTCTTCTTCGCTTTCCAGACTGAAGATTCGTTGACTTTACAAAAATACAAATAAAACAAAATAAATAAAACAACAAAAATATTCCACTCATCCAATCATCATCATCATCGTGCAAAGTTTAATCTTGATCTCAATCTTGATCTCATACACACATGTGATTCTGAAATTCCACAGTATTGTGATGACTTTGGTATTGCAACTCGACAAGATACCCAGATAGATAACTTTAACATCTCCTTCTTCATCCCCTCCCCCTTCCCACTCACCTTCGCCTTCCCCTTCCCCTTCCTTATCTCAGTCCTCTCTCCCAAATCAAATCCCTCGCACCAAACATTGTCAATTCTACCAACGAAGAAATAGCTACCCCAAGAACAATCAAACAACACAAATCCCCTGTATGTATGAAAGAATCAAATTGTATTATCATCAAGTATCTACAAATTTGCCGTGTATCCCATTCACATCTCTATCTTCATCTTTCATCTTCATCGTCTCCACATCACCACCCCATGTATGAATACCCTCCAACCCCAACCCCAATCACTACTTTACCAGCCCACTCCACTCCCTTCATCTCTCCACCCTATCATCATGAATCCAAAGTCTACACTCATACCATACAACGAGCAATCAAAAAAGATAAAATAAACTTGTATATAATCAAGATTATTACTGTAGGTATAATCCAATCAATCAATCAACCATCCATCCATTCATCAATCCTATTCTGTCCTATCCTATCCCATCCAATCCCAACCACGACAACTCTCGTTATCGATTTCCCAAACACCAAAACCCCTAAGAAGCCCAAACCCAATCCAATAACCTGAGCCCAGGCAAGGAGATGTAAAAGAAACAAAAAGAAAAAGGAAAACAGAAAGATACCACCACCAGATATATCAAATTCATTACTCATAAAAGCCATAACTTCTCAACGAAGAAAGGGACAAGAGATGGAAAAAAGATACAGAAAGAAGAAAGAAAATGGAAATACGCCTGCCTATCTAGAAATCTGACGCCACGCGACAATTCATCAATTCAACTCACCAAATTGATGAATTATCGAAAGTTTGACTGAAGGCAGGTAAGAAAGAAAAAGGAAAAATTGTCATCACACCTTACTCGAACCATACCAGTATGAACAGAGTAGGAATGATACCTAATTGAAAGACAAAGAAGGATCATAGGAAAAATTTACAGTATTGACACCAACAAGTGATTGATCATCAAAAACTTGAGGAAGAGAAGAAACAGGATCAAAGAATGCCACTGAGGGGTCATTCATAGGAAAAGAAGAAAAGTCAAAGTTTGTTTGACCTGCAAAGTTCATTGGTAGATCAATGTCCTGTTGCATCGAATTGTCGAAGTTGATGTTGTTGGCAAAGTTTTGTGTATTGATGGAAGGGTATACTTGGTGAATCGGAACTTGGTTGATGGCATTATCGAAATCAGTTGGTGCGTCATGATTTGGCGATAGATCGTTAAGCATACTCTCGTTCATGTCTTCATCATCGTTCTCATCATCTTGTTGCGTGTGATCTGCTGCTGGCTCTTCCACCTCTTTGAACCAATTTTTCAACTCCGACATTGGAGGCCAATCTCCTCCAGCTTTTCCACCACGCTTTTGAGACTCCTCAACCTTACTATTCTTGTTTCTACCCTTAGATTTGGGTTTGAAATGCGCTCTTCTAAGGTGTGCAGCTGCATTATAGTATGCTCCATACTTCTTCTTCTGTGTCGCGCACGCCTTGCATTTTGAGAGTGGCAACACAGGCTTTTCACGTCCTTGACTGCTCAGTGGTTCAATGCAAACCCACTTCTTCACCATTCTCTTATGTTGTCGATCGCAATGTCTTCGAAGCTCATGCTCGCCACGAAACCCATCAGGATGTTCATCACATAACTTGCAAAATACACGTTCGTGTTTTGGTCGTTGATAAGCACGCTTTTCGATAGCAACCTTATCATTTGCCACATCTTTCGAATCGAGTCGAGTCATTGATTGTGATGAGTTGACTCGTAATATCGAATTCTCTTCACAACCACCCTTAGGCATGAGTGGTCGCGCAGCGGCAATGTTACTAACTTGTAGCCGCTGCTTATTACGAGATGATGATGACATACTCGATGAAACACTTTCAATCGATTGTGACTTTTCCATCTGTTGAGCAAAAGGTGCAGAAATTTGAGACTGAGCAAAGGCTTCCGTACTAGGAAAAGAAAGAGAAAACTGAGAATCATTGCCAACACCACCAGCCCCAACAAGTAGTTGAGTCTGTTCCTCGTCGGAAGACCGACGACTATGATGAGAAGAACTATACTGAGGAGCAACGGGATAAACAGAATCATCATTGATACCTGTAGAAAAAGAAGTGTTCGAATTGAACTTCATCATTTCAATACTTTCCACCAGAGGCTCATTAAAGAGACTATTTTGTCGACTCATGTTACTTGTGTATGTAGTCGCATCAGTAAGAGTCGTAGTTGTGGGCGTACTAGGAATGTTGAACGACTGTCGAGATTGTTGAAGTTGCATAGGCGTTGAAGAGTGCATCGATATCGGAGAAGGCGTAATCGAGAAAACTGGGGTAGGTGAGACACCAGTAAATCCGGTACGGAAGAGGAAGTCGCCGGGGTTCTCAAAGCCCTGGGGAACCTCCAGAACTTGTTCTAATTCCGGTTTCCGTTGAGACATAGAGCGCTGAAGGGGGGAGGCCGAGGTTTGATGCGAGAAAGTGTAAGAGCTGTAGGGCTGATCTTGATTAACCCAAGCTTCGAGGGCGGGATTTCCTCGGCGGAGATCATTATGGAGCGGAGGGGGCATCGCGCCGTTCTGGGTAAATGGTAATCTTCCGGAGCGTGTAGATGCACTGTTCATTGAGTTTGCTCGCATCATGACGGGCTCAGATTGTTGAGATATTGTCCGCGATATTCCGGCTGCTTCCATCCGGTCCTAAGTATCGTTAGAGCCAGCTCAGGAGGGAAACCACAGGGGACTCCTACAGAAGATGGGTGTCGGGCCATGGGAGCTCCACTGCTTGACATGCTTCGGGGAACATTGTGTCTCCGCTGTGTTTGTTGTTTGTATATCGGGGATCTGTGATGGGGAAACGATGATGTCGACGCCGAGCCGGATGTGAGGGATGCGATTTGCGCTTGAATTTGTTCTTGCTGTGCCAGAAGGAATTGAAGTTGATCCTGATCTACCGAAGTATTGAGTCTCAACTGGGACGACATAGCAAGTGTCTATTAGAGTTTGTTAGATAGTCTCCAAGGACTTTTTTTCGAATCGCTGGTGTATGATAGTGGAGACTGTGTCGTCGCTTGCAACGTTGTCTGCAGCCTCACGTAGTTAGTAAAAGAGCATGATCACCAGCATATTTCGTACAGTAGCGGGTGCAGTGAAGAGGAGTTGAATGATGAACATTAGAATCCATGACATACGTATGGATGAAGGATGCACGTAACGATGTTACGAACGGTGAAGGTAATGATAGTTCGCCGTTGGAATATGGGATATGACACTATGGTTGCGTAGGAAGATAGGGAAGCATAAAAGTAAGGCGAAAATAATGAAGTTAAGATTGTAGAAATAAGAAAGGCGAACTATGTATTGTATGGACAGCGCGACATGGTAAGATGGGGCTCATATGAATTGAGTTCGGGAGGTGGATGACACGGCAGAAGAACGGATGAAGTGTGGGTTGGGATGACTCTGATGACGAGACAAATCCAACAGATTAAACAGGTTAGGTTGTTTCGAGGTCATACCATTGATACCAAACAAGATATGATGGGGGACGGGGGATATACCGATGTATGAGATGGATGTATGGAACCTTTCCTTTATTTTTTGGAAGTATGTGAGTGGATGAGTGGATGAGTGGATGAGTGGATGAGTGGAGGTATGGGTGGAGGTATGAGTGGATGGATGGGTGGATGGATGATTTTTCTTGGTATACCAGGATGAGGGATAGGATAAGGATCAATATAATGATAACGACTTGATCATCTTTCCCTCCTTGACTAGATTAGGAAAAGATGAAGTTTGTTGTGGATATATGTGGATGTGTGACATTGGGTGTGGCATTGCGTGTGGCATTGCGTGTGGTTGTTTTGGATTGTGCTCAACTGTGGTGGGATGAATATTGACAGTCGTGAGTGCGGATGGAGGGCATGAGCGATGAGAGCGAGTGAGGGGCGTGTTCAAGATGCTATGGTGGATCGATATCTTATTGTTTCTTCTGATGATTATTATGATCATCATCATCATCATCATCATATCATCGCTATGATCCTGACGTGGAGGGATATGGAGGTATGGGACTCGTGGGAGGCTTGCTGCGGCAGTCTGTAGATAGATTCACAATGGTTCTTTCTAACATTGCACAGGCAGAACAGATGGAAGTGGAATCCTCTCGCTCGGAACATCGTATGCCTCGTACATGACAATTTGTCCGAAAGAGAGATTGACAACATAGCAAGTCACACCAGGAAGTTACATTAGGATTCAAGAAGTTACACCATACACCTAACTTAATAAGAAATATTGCAGGTACTATGTAAACACCCAAAACTCTCCTCGGTGCTATTCTGCTCCATTAATCTACTCCAGTCGTCTCCATCATACAAAGCATCTCAAGGGCCAAGCAAATAGAAGCAAGACATTCTGCGTTTGATACTCCCCCACGTCCTGATAACCAATCATGTCATCCACATCCATCATTCATCCATCATTCGTCCATGATTTTCCCATTGACATATTTTTTGAGGGCATTCGCGGTATCCAGATTCTCGGAAAAGTCTTTCTTCTGAATCCTCTTCTGTACGTCAGTTGTCATGTACTCAGTCTGGAACTAATGATCGACTTCAATTTTTACCCTTACTTGTACCTACTACTTACATTGGTCTATTGAAAATGCTTAGGTTTGTCTCATGATCAACCACAATAATAATGATAATAATAATAGTAATACTAATAACATATTCCTTTCATGTATCGAAATTCTTCCGTTTGATTGGTTCTGATGGAAGATCATCAACCATCACATCAATCGAAATCTCCAAGCTTCACCTATTATCTTATCCACTTACCTAGTTGTTACTCACCGAAATCTTTTTATATCGCTCGATGAAGCCGAAATGGGTTTGAAACTTGACAGACATACATAGTGATCAAATCATCTCATTCCTTGTACGAGGTCGTGTTTTGATGAATGTCGGGTCCGTGCACAAAGCACTTTTTCCTACGAAGTGCGCCTTTTCATATCAAAACTCATCTATTTTAAAATTCATTATTAAATCAATCAATATTAACATATATTTCAAAGTTAGAATATATAGAGATTTTAATAAACATTATAATAATATAACTTCAGACTTTTTATAAATCTTTTCAATAAATTAAAATCCATAATGAATATTTAATACTCATTAAATAATATTTAGTTTCAAAATCAATATTTAATTTCGAATGAATAAATAATTATAATCTAAAGTCCGGGTTTCCTTGTATTATAATAACTCTTAATTAAATCTCTATATAACAATTAACTTTTAAAGCTTTATAAAGAATAATAGAATTATTATATATATATATATTTTAAAAAAAAGATAGAATAAAGTATAGTTCAGGTGAGAAAACTCGTTTAAATTTCAGCCCGGCATTCGTTAAAAATACGCCCTTGCAGACTATAGTAATTATTCATGCTACATACCTACTGATGCATACCGGTGTACACCTATATATAGCTATTTACCCATCGACCGAGATTCGAGAAGACAAATTAATTGTACTTCATCTCCTTAAAAAGCCAATTAAAATAATAAGGGTCATCATTCATTTCCAACATGCCCCAATCCCCTTCTAAACTCTTTCTAGAACTAGACGAGGAAGAAGAAAGAAACAAAGAAAGAAAAATGAAGCAACGAGTAAAGATCTTCCTGTCAAAGTGCGGCTCATCCCGACTGGCTCATTACTAGGTATCTAGGTATTGAAATTGGAAGAAATACTACGAGCAAGCAACTTCAGTCCAAACTCCAAACTCCAAACCTGTAGCTCAGTACAACCCTTGAAGATTAGGTAAGCCAGTCAAATTCGCTAGTCCGCCTCATAAATTTTATACCACAATTTATGCCAATCATAGGTAATTATGATTGGAAAATGATTGGAAAACATCGATCAATCTGAGTCGGAAGCTGGGAATCCTCTCTTCCTATTCGTTCACTTGGTCCTCGTAAACATGTTCCACCACAGAATCGACACGTACGGTGATTATACGAACCAACACATGACACTGTCTGAAAATGGTTCGCCCAGATTGTTACAACTTCCAAGATTGCCTTAATCTTGACCACTTTTATTCAAATAACCTTGATGTCCTTACCCATCGGCCATCAGCCATCAGCCATGAGCCATCACCCCCATCAACTATCAAATAATCCCGTCTCCGAGAATAACCCATCACAATTATCAATATCCTAGGTATCCTTTCGCTTCTTCAGAACGGGCTCTCGGTTGACTCGATTCTGCGTTGCAACTTGTAACCAACAACCTAAGCTGAGATATCTTCTCCCAATCAAACCAAGCCTACACTACACTTGACGATTGGTTAGATCAGTAATGATTGCACGAACAAAACAAATTCCTGCTTTCTCGTCGGGCGTAGCCGCTTTATTACCTCTGCATATCGGGCAACTGGTCTGGCTTCTATGGGATGGCTAGGACGTAGCCATCATTCATAGGTATTGTTTGTGATGGCTGTATGCACACCCCACGAATACGCGGCACTTTCCCATCCCCCATGTTGTCAGACCAAGGTACGCTGTATACCGTATACGTAAGGTACGAAAAGGCTTTGGAGGCATTGCGTTACCCGTAGCATAATCATCACACCCTTTTGTAAGCTCTCTCGCGTGGACTGCACGATGTTGTGGTGCCCAATATCTCGCTGGCCTTTTCTGGCCTTGGTCTGAGAGTTTGTTGGACCTGCCGGATGTATTTTTGGCTTTGACACTTTGACACTTTGCGTTGAGTATTGACCATAGTGTACCTTTGTTCTGGACCCGAGTCGATGGTCGGAATGCAACCTTCCACGGCATGAGAGAAAGGGAAAATGTGATCTTGTCATCTTGAGCAGATATGCCTTGTAAAGAGCCTGATCTATACCCATCGGCGATGCCCGGTAAATGGATTGATGCCCAGGCTTTAACTTGACTTCAAAGTCCGAGTAAGATTTCCAACGGCTCTATGGACAATATCTCGTACTCCTAACTCCCTAGGTGTGTAAGATTCCTCGAAACCTCTGTTTTGGGACTTCGCTGGACCATAACACGTGACATCAACTGCATCACCGTTCTGATTATTAAAAGATGATACGTTTCGTTGCATATCGCACCGTTGGCCGGTCAAAAATGCTATCTTCGTTATAATCTACTTTCATATATGCATTCTATTGCGAAAAGAAGATCACTTTCTCTGAGCCAAATCAGTAAGTTTCTATGTCATGTGACAGCCGGAGAAACTTGCCAGATAAAAATGAATTATGTTTATCCGAACCCCGTTGCGACACTAGCACACCCTAGCTCGAGCCTGGTAGATGATGACAGCTTTGTGGAAATGCGATCATAGCTTTTGAACTTCGTTCCTTATCAATGAAATTCTGTCCCTCTGAAATTCACAAACTTCATTTCTTATCAATGAATCTGTCTATCTGAACGTCGCAATTGCCATACAGCACGATGCGTAAATCAATTCCAGCTTTGCTAGCTATAGCCTCAGTAACATTAGCTAGTCAAAATGTGTTCAGTGTTCACGATGACTTGTTTGCATTTCCACAGGTATGCGCAAGCCCAGCGATATCATAAGCTATTCTGATATAAAGTCGTCAAAAACTCACGAAACAATAGTATGAAATAGTGTTCTCAAATGACGTTCATTCGGAAGCGGAAGCATATTTTATCGTCAATCATCCCTATTCGCCTGTCACATTTGCAAGTAATAAAGAAGATTTTAAAAGCATACAATCATCCCAACACCCTATTCAAGATGGTCCCACCGATCATGAATCCGAGCCCGCCAAACAAACCCACGAGCTCATGTATCTACATGATGAACTATATGTATGCACAATTCCCGTAGTTTCTCTACCTCCGCGAAACGAAACCTCGGAAGCCGAAGCTCGCGCTGCTGAGCAAAAAGAGCTTGCTAGAGCAACCGATCGTGGCTGGGAATTACTTCGAGATTTGGAGAACAACTGTCTATACTTTGTATCTGGATGGTGGTCATATTCATTCTGCTACAACAAGGAAATCACACAATTTCATCAACTACCAGCACAACCCGGAAAGGCGGCATTCCCACCCCAACCGGATCCATCAGCCCAAGAATTTGTTCTCGGAAGAGCGAAGACATTGCCGAAGAGCAAGAGTAAGGAGGATGAATGGGGCAATCAAATAGAAGCGCATACGGCACCCCAGAATGGGGAATCACCAAAAACAGAACTACAAGTCAAGGGCGACATGCGATACCTCGTTCAGAAAATGGAAGGTGGTACAATCTGCGATCTTACAGGCAAGCCCCGCCAAGTCGAAGTTCAATTTCACTGTAACCCTAATGTCAAGGATCGCATTGGCTATATCAAGGAAATGACCACATGTTCATACCTCATGGTTGTTTATACACCCCGCCTTTGCGACGACGTAGCATTCATGCCACCCAAGGCAGAGAAAGCCAACAGCGTAGTCTGCAAACGTATAATCTACGAACCCCCCTCGTCCCAGATTGATCCCAACTTTATCACTTCTTCACCCTCCTTGGCCTATCCTAAAAATCCCATAGTCATTGGCGGTGTAACCGTCGGCGCAGGTAAATTCGTCGGCAAAGAAGGACAACGTCTACCTATCCCCCCAGACTTTGGAGATGACAACGGAAGCCGGACTGAAATTATTGCACGCGGCAAAAGCAAGGTTCAGGGAGGGAAGGTCGAAGTTATTAGTCCGAAATCGCTGGAATTAATGGATCTCGACCCCAAAATGATCGAAAAATTACAAGAGGAAGTCAAGAAGTTGGCAGGGGATAAGGGCTGGAAAATTGAGGTTGTCGATGTCCCAGGACAAGTTAGAGAAATCTTGGGAATTGTTGAGGATGATGGAGGACAGGGCCATCAAAAGGGACCCGGAAAACCTATCGAGGGAGAATCCCAGAAGGATAGTGATAAGAAAGATAATAATGTATATGAAGATGAAGCTGGTGAAGAAGGTAGCGAGGAGATATTCAAGGATGAATTATGAGGCTTCATATCTTCTATTTGAGTTGGGACTCGGCGGGGGGCGTAATGGGTTTGTTTCGTAGATATGATGTAATAAATTGGGAAATGAAAGATTTTCATATATATACTCATGTGGTTTTATTGTCTCATCTCGAAGAAAATGTAAGGTGATATTCATTGGATATGGTATGTATGTCTAGGTAGTTGATGCAGGTATATGCAAAGGTTGGATCTTGATAGGTATACCTTGACCTTTAGATTTTACGAGTTCATAGGTTAGATTCCTATTTCTCCGACATGGGAGATGGATAGATGGGAGGATAGATAGATAGATAAGCAATGTTGGGTGGGGTTTTTGTGTGGATGGGTATGTATAATGTGAGTAGGGGGTGGATGGGTAGAGAGAGGGAGGGAGAGTAGGGAGGAAGGAAGGAATATACCTAGATTGTTTATTGGAGTTCTCGGGGGTTTTTGTGTGTGTGTGTGTGGTGTGTGTGTGTGTGTGTGTGTGTGTGTGTGTGTAATTTGTTGGGACTGGATTTTGAAATATAGAGATGTAGTGGACGTGTGGTAGTCTTGGAGGAGGAGTATATAGGATGGAAAGGAGAGGATGGAAAGGAGAGGATGGAAAGGAGAGGATGGAAAGGAGAGGATGGAAAGGAGAGGATGGAAAGGAGAGGATGGAAAGGAGAGGATGGAAAGGAGAGGATGGAAAGAGAGGATGAAACGAAAGTGAGAATGGAAGAGATTTGATTAGGAGGGGTTGTGTGATGGGGGGTAACATCAGAGATTGTGGACTGATTCTATCTATATGTTGGTCATGTGAACCTTCAAATTCGATATCTCGACTCTAGTGTCTATGGGTAGGTAAAAATAACTTAAGCGATCGCGGAAAGATAAAATAGAAATAAAGAATTCCTCCTACTCTTCACTTCTCCTCTTTTCCAGATCTTTACATTGATAAGCAATATCTATAGAAGTAATTTCCTCCTGCTTCAAATGTGCGATATGATTTCGATTCTCTTGATTTTCTTCTCTTGAAATTTTTTTATCCGGAAGGGGTTTTGTATACGAAGTATCAAGCTAAAACCCACAACCACATTTCGCCTTGTGCTCTAAAATGTTCGAAAAATCTCCCGATCTTCGAACGAGCGATTCTCCGCTCTCAAATGAGCATACAGCACGAAAAGAAGAATAGGTTGCTGAACTACGGTACATAGATGATCCTTGTAATGGTGATTATGGCGATTATAGTGGAGATGTCTTTTCGAGATATGTATTAGGTTTCGTTGATTATGATGCCGCTTTTGACTGTGGTGCTGTAGATGTGGTGTTGGTCTGTGGGGTTGAGGAGAAGAGAGGTTTTGTTTATGAGGAGAGGTGCTGTTGAAGATGATGGATGGAGGTTTGGATATGGTGGGATGGGTGGTGGGTTTGTTGTTGGGTTTGAGGAGGCCTTGGGTTTGGTGGATGCTTTGTTTTGTCGATGGGTTGTGACTTGTGGAAGGAGAATTGAGAGCTAGTTGGGACGAATTCTATGGTGGGATTCAATGTTAGAATTGGCCGAACTTCTAATGGGGATTGTGGAGAGACGAAGTTCGAAGCAAGTGCGGGGGGTTGAAAAATGATATTGAACGATGTCTGTTAAACTTTGTGCTAGATGAGTGATAGCTTCCCATTACTAGTGTCAAACACTCAATAATCTGACGACGTTACCTGTGAGTTTACGGTCTTGGTAGGTAGACTAGAGTCAGTTGCTTGAGTTAAGATCTTCGATCGTAATGCTTGGGTAAAAGAATATTGCTCTGTTTGTGCAAAATCATGCCAAGCGATGTATCATGATCAAGTCTTGATATCAATGTCAAGTCATAACCTGATTAATGGCACTAGCCTCTCGAGATTTGTCATTTGCGAATGTTCAATTTTGACCATGTATTTGTATCAAAAGATGCCGATCGTCAGGGCTTGTCAAGCAATGGGGTTCTCTCCAGTTCCAAATCCAGTTCTGAATCGTGCTCTAAAGTGCAATTGATATCAGCAGCCTACCAATTGATTAACAATCATAAGGGGCCGAATCACCGTTACGCGATGAATCACTGTAATTTGAATGTAAATTTTCGAGTAGATAGATGAGATAAGTGGGAAAGGAAAGTGCAATGAGGCAGATAATTGTAATTCGACATGGGATCTGAATGCTCCAGGGTGGGGTGGGTGCAAAAGACAGATAGAACGTTGGATGATGCCAAAATAAAGTGGTATATTCTGTTAATTTGTTTCTTTCGAGCTGAGAGACAGAAATTATTCCTAGAACGTGGCTGAACTTCTATCCGCAGATGTCCACTCCAAGACTACAGAAGCCAAACTTCCAATCAAGAAGCAATGCCTTGATGCTGCTCGCTGCATATTCCTCAACAGTAACGCCAGCGCAAAGGCTTCACCGGACTCAATAATCCTCCAGCTTATAAACTTCATAAGCCGGTTCCTCATATGGATGAACTCTAACAAACACATTAGGAACGAGAAGCACGATAACATAAGAATCAAACTTGCTTCTTCAAAGCTGCAACCGCATTTCTAATAGTCTCCTCGCCAACACACAAAGTTTCGAACCTGACTTCTTGCACCTCTTCCAACGCACCTACAGTTCCAATATTTGGATTTGCAGTATCACCTGGTCGAAATTGAGCAGTGCCTGTCGTAGCCCAACAACATTCGGTATAATTTCCAGAGCCTGGATAACGTCCAGCTCCGGCGGCGAAGATGGCAGCTTTACAGGCTGAAAGTCCTGATGGCGGGACGAAAAATATCAGCTTGAAGCGCTTGGGTATGGCGGAAAGTGTTGTCATATTTTTGGGACTAGAATTTAAGATGCCTTAATAAAGATAGATATGTATCGGTTGTCGTCGACGACATTATGGTAAACAAACGGACACGGACATTGAATTTGTGGGTTACTGTTTTGGGCCCCCACGCCTACTCATTGTTCAAATGAATGTGACATTTACCATGAATTGAAATATCACGACACATGTCATGCTGTCAGATTGATTTGCCTCCAAAGGAGTTCCAATATTTGTACTTAGAAGGTCTCTAAAGCTCAACACTCCCGCGGCTAGAGCGCTTTTCCCATTTTACATCCACGGACACTACTCCAATTTTGGAGTGAGCTACAGCCTACAGGACTATTGTCATTATGGATCTTTTGATTTACTTTACAACGATTGTCAAAACCTCACCGCTGAAAGAATGACTTCGTACCTGCTTTTAGCCTGAAAATTACCTCCCGGTACATGCCCATCTAGGATTCCCGAGCCGCACACGAGCTGCACTGAAGATTTGTACATGGCTATACGAGGTTGCATCAGGATTCTCTTCATTGATTCGAGGATGTGAAGGAAGCTGACTAGCAGGACTTGCCAAGGCTGCATGACTGCGGGGTAACTACTGTGTAGATTCGGGTTGATCATCATTACTCGCATTGAACCTGCAGTAATATGTTTCAAGCTTAACTGATTTCAAAGCTATATTAAATTGATTCAATAGCTTCTTCTTGGCTACAGCCATTTATCAACGCTGAATGACAACGGTTTCCACATTTGTCGGAGTCTGACATGATGTCGGTATATATGAGTTCTCACTACCAACAAGACTTGAGATGAACAGAAGACTGTAGTCTTTCATATAATCGACAAGCAGTATTAAAGCTCACTATTGCACAAGTGGAGTCGGAATATTCAGCATCGTCATAATGATTTCGTCGCTTCCCACTCTTGGGTTTTTACTGGTTCTTGTGGATATCACAAATGCTTCCTTTAAACCCTCATTTAACAATACTCTTGAAAAGGGAGTAGCGACTGAATGCAAGACTTGTCCATATTCACTTTGCACGAATAAGGAATTTTACGATTACGATACCGTTGTATCACTCATTTGCTGGACGACTGGTACAGTCATCGATGGTGATAGGTAAGATTCAATTCCAAACGTGAGCTGCTACATAGAATACTAAAATATCCAGTACGTGGTTGAGAACAAGCGACGACTGCTATGTAACCCAATACGATCTTGCCGATTATGCTGGAGAATGTATGTATTCTTGTAGTTCACATTTGAATCCTACTAACATTAAATATAGATGAAACCGACCTCAGCTTTTGTGGCCAAGATTCTACTATTGAGCATATAACAACAGCTCCTGCAACCACAAAATATAATACCGAATGCAATATTTGTGATGATAATGCGAGTTGTGAGGTTATTAAATATCTAAAATATGGAACTGATATTACGGTGACTTGCTGGACTGATCTAGGAGATCTCGTGATCAATGATAGGTATATCCCATCTTCAACCTTGCATTTCAACTACAGATTAGACAGCTGACAGCGACGGAAATAGTACCTGGTTGAAAACCACAGATAATTGTTATGTGGCACAAATTGGCCTCGAAGAGCCCGCCGATAAATCAGAGCTTGACTATTGCGGCCCAGTAGGCTTTGTTCAAGTAAACTACACAACACCAGAGAAACGTTCACGTTCTCCGCCCAATTCTAACGAGAATTCACATCGCTCTCTCGCTAAGCACTCGCCCCCTTCCTTGTCTAACGATATTCACAAACGCTACCTTCTCAACATCACAGTAGGCGAAGATTACGCTCCTTGCTACAGTACCCCATCTTCAGCAAGTCAATTGGTCAAAAATTATGAATGGGATCATGGTGTTTGGGTACAATGCTATGTGAATAATTTTGAAAATACAAATCCGAATGAGACGTATTGGTATTTCACGACAGATTTCTGTTATGTGAGAGAGGTGGATTTCTGGGAGAGTTTGTTTGATCGTGAGTAATTTTTCTTCTCTCTTTTGAAATGAAGAATAAAAACGAAGGAATGAAAGGAGAGAAGGATCACATGCTAATCTGAGATAGAATATCGATTCCCGAATTGCGACTTGTTTGATGGTGGAGATGGAAGTGGGGATAAAGTTGATGCTCGTGAGGTCTCTGATTAGAACAATACCGCTTGAGCTCCACTTTGGGTTGCTCATAATATATATCACCGTTCAACTCCCAAAACATCGTTGTTCCAAACTCCTTGATCTAACCTAAATTGACTATTGAATGCCTAAAGTTTACCTCCAGAGCCAAAACCTGTAGGATACGTTATAATCATACTTTTGATAATAAAAACCATCCTTCTGTAGAAGCTAGAATACCCTACTAAGGGTCATATTTCGCAGCAATTTGTTTCATGGTCGTAAAATTCGCCGGTGAATACCGTGCCAAAGGATTTTGGTCCGCGTAGTAGTCATTCATGTATAGATAGGGGAGGTTAGAATTCACAATGAATCTTAGATGGTAGAAAAAAGTCAGGTTGCGCCGAGGATACAACGAGGACGAATTTTAGTAATAAGAAGAGAATCCCGGATAATCACCTGGTAGCCATGATGGCCAAATTCCCTGTGTCTCGAATGGATTAATTCATTAGGAAAGGGTTGAGAAGCAGTATGTATGTATCATGCCATTACCTCTATCAATTCATGCAGGCTCACGGATGTCAGTTCCTAAACCATCATTCTTTCAGGACTATTTCTGTGAATACCAGGCGATGCTCCTACACATATAACCTGCAATTTATGTATTGATTAATTGACTTTGAAGGCGGATTCAATGCATTCCGATTGCGATCAGCTGATTGATACCATCCTTAACGTGGTTTAACACCGAGTGCACCATATCACCGAATGCACCACTTCAAAATACACCAAAATTAGCCTTTTCCTAATATTCATATTTTAATACTTAATCAATATTTTTTAAAAAACAAAAAAGATTTATTAATAAGAAAATATTTTTTATAAAAGTATTAAGTTTCTATATAAAAATTTCTATTATATTCTATAAAAAGTGGAAATTGTCACGATTTTCGTTACAAAAAAACTATTCCTATAATAACTACTATATTAATTCAAATTTTTAATAAATAATTAAATTTTTATAATATTTATATAATTAAATGTTACAATTTCAAATTTTGAAAAATTATATTATTAAATAAAGAAAGTGCACGGTTACGCACAGACGTATTTTGTATGTAAAATTCGTGGTGCACTCGGTGATATGGTGCACTCGGTGTTAAACCACGTTATAGGTATTTAGTGATTCCAGTCCCGCTTATCGCTTAACGCACATGTCACTCCTCATTTCGAAGGCAAACAATACCATATTTATGTTAGTTACTTCTCATTTTCTTTTGATCTTGACAATCAAGGATAATTGAAAGTTGTATGGCCGTCTTCTTCACGTTGAACGCACATCCTACTATCAGACCCGATGCTAGTCTGTCAGGGTCTGACAACAGGGAAGCCAACTGTTGGACTTTGAGATTACTCTCTGGAGGTAGAAAGTCCGAATAATGACAATCGGCACTGATTTCGTTTGTTCAGATGGGTGATTGAATTGGCTGCTTCTTGGCTGAAAAATGTTACCCTTGTAATTCCTGGCTCATTGTTCTCTCAGGTCCAAAAACCAAAAGCCATATTGTCTCGGTACTGGGGTCCTGGGAACAGCTATGGAAATTGCCTGGCTACTTCGTCTCTTGAAAACAAGAGTACTTTGGTGGAACATTTGAGTTATGGTTCTAATTGGGGGCATATAATTTCATGCTTATTCCTCACTAGATCCAATGATTATCGAAATCTACGCGAATATTCCTTGCAGTGGTGTCTGGTACTGGCTCATTTTGATCCACTCCATACTCTTCTTCCACAGCCTCAATTACTTCTCTTTATCTTCGCTCTCTAGCGAGCTTTCTTCCTTATTCAACATAACATAATAGCCACTTATTCCGCAGTACTCTTTCCCAACCGAGATATTAATCAGATCTGAAGCTGCCACCTTAGTGTTACGCAATGTTAGAAGTAGATATCTCAAGACAGGTTGCAATGGACCCAGTACTCCTCTCATCAGAAACCACCATGCAGATAGTACACCAGAACTCATACACCTTAAATCTGTAAGGCCACCAGGATTCATGGCCACTGCTGTAATTTTGCTCAACAACGGATCCTAAAATCATCCGTAAGTAAGTGTTGAAACAATATTGGCTTCGATATTACCTTGGAAAGTCTTTTGTTTAATTGATACATTCCCATAATTGCTACCACTTTCGATAATCCATATCTTTGAAACCCACGACCAACTTCTTCTCCGACTTTATCTGGTGTTGGATGAACAAGAAGCTCAAATCGTCAGGAAGGCTTGAGGGAAACTTTTCAAGGCCACTCTTTCAAGGGTATCGTGAATCGCTTCCAGGAATGACGATCTTGCCCCCGTCCGGCCGAAATGAACTCAACAACCTCAAGACTATCGAAAGGCGGGTAAGATGATTGACAGCCATAAAACTCTCGTAGTCATCCGAGGTAAACTTCAAACCATCGGAAATACACCATGTGAAAGCATTACAGATGATAGCTGCGAGAGGAGGCAATCTACCCGCATCAATATCCGCGTTGATGACACCAGCATAGCTCTCCACAGCGGCTAATGAGCCAAGATCAAGTGTATCAATAATTGATCGATCTTCAGGACAATCAGATAGTATTTTCCGAAGTCTTTGAGTATTCTCGTCGGATGTATTGCGGACGGTCAACACGGCGGTGTATTTTGGATATCTTGTGAGGAGATGTTCTATCGAGGGAAGTGTAAGGGAGCTATGAGCACATGTAACAAGAACTATACCACCTTCCATAATGATGAGGGATGTCAGTAAAAGTCATGCCACTGAAAGCAAGCGACTGTAACACCATCATAAATGACCATTTTTGCTACTCTGAGGCGTTAGTAGCGTCAGCAACTGCTGACAGCTGCTGATAAATCTTTACGCGTTGTGGTCAGATTCAGATACAGTCCAGCCGGATTTACTGCCTAAAGGGCCTGCATATGCAAGCAATGGCCCTTTCGTGCCGCAACTGTGCCAAATCTTGAGTTCTCCAATGAGATCCATGCTGACTCTTTGTTTGCATTGAAGTATATAGTCCTTTAACGTACGTTTATATCTTTTGATCTTTCTTTGACATTCCTTATTCGCATTATATCGTACAGCATTTACTATACTTATATCCTCAGTCTCTCATAAATGAGAAATGTATGCAGGTAGAAAAGTCAGGAGCTATGAAGTGTAAGTGCTCGGGGTATATAACTTATAGTTTCCCACTACCACGCACGTGCTATGGCACGCTAATCTCGCATACCGGGTAGCCCGCGGAGAGGGACAGTATCTCAGTATTGGAGGTAGCTTGTTGAAGATGAATCATAATTGTCATTCCAGCAACTGATTGTGCATCAAATTTGGTTTGAATTGTGTTGAGATGTCAATCTGTTCTATATAGTCAAAATTGAACATTCAAGAGCGAGAATTCGAGTATCAGAATAATGAATGCAAGGTCTATTCAATTCGAAAGGCATCGATCCAACCTTCATGATAGCACATTTTATGGACTGAGTGGCGATTAGATTGACCTTTAGTTGAAGCAATTGTTATGAGAGGTTATTGAGGCCTGAATGGCTATGAAAACGTACAATCCAGTAGTATACTCCCTCATCGGTATAGAGTGGATGTTAACTTCACATCCTAGCTCTTCTAACACCTGCTCATAGTCAGCAATTACACGAGTTTTGGAGAATGAAATAGTTTTGGTTGTTTAAAGTTTTTTGTAACGAGCATCCAACCTTAGCTCCACCGCGGTTACCTTCACCCTCCGTATAATCACGATTAGGGGGGAACGATGTCAACTTCGGGAAATTAGTTGTCTAATCGCCTATATAAATTACTACCAACTGATATTCCTTATCATGCTGGAGTCATGTTATTTGATCAACTTGTATGTACGACAATTGTCACCCTCCTCACCTTCGGACGTCGTATTTTGGGTGGATAATACAGGACGATTCTCACATGATGTCCTAAATATTCTCTTCCCAGCGCTTTGAGACGTGTGATTAGTACGTAGTAATAGTTCCAAATCCCCAATTTCATAAAGGCATCGTTTTAAGGTAAGCAAGAAGTGGCTAGGCCGATCTAGGCGATGCATCAACTCATTAATCATAGACGCCGTATCGTTCTTCAAAAAATCAACGTCGAGCTCGTTGATGTATGGTGCTGGGAGTATGATGCAGAGCGTGAAAGGGGTGGGATTGAAGCACTATATGATTTTGAGGCTAAATATGCTTAGGCATGAACTAGCCTACTGTAGGAAAGCATGGGCTTGTGAGTAAATCGATTAGTTAAGACCTCTGACACGAAAGAATTCGTTCGTGTATTCGATTCTTAAGCTAAAACTTCTAAATCTCTTGTGAGGAAGGGTTTTGAAGTCACGGTGTTATTCCGTATCATGCCAGTATGAGATCTCAATACCAGCAGTCTTTTCAAGCATTGGGATTTACTGCAAACCGAATACTGATAAAAATTCCCGAACAATAGGTTATCTTTTAGATTTATGCCTTGAAATCAAGTGTTAAAACCGACTGTGGAGTAAGGATCATCGAACATGTAAAAAGTTGTGTCTTTCCAATTGGACATTACATCACGTTTCCTTTCGATTATGAGGAAGCACCCTACACCCATTTCACGCGAACTTCTAATCTTCATTCATTTCAAGGCAATAGATCCCTTCAACACTTGTTACAATTCATGGAACGTGCAGAAAATAACAACCTACGACGTGAATCAATGTCTAAAGGCGTCTTAATCGTAAAAGTCGGTTGCAGAGACCTCAAAGTTCTATTGAACATCGAAGAAAGTCTCAAAGAGAACGATCTCTATTGTCAAAACTACAGATCTATTAGAAAGTCAAATTAAGATGAGATACATGGTAGATAATTGCGAAGATGCATCTAATAAAGGGGGTAAATTGAATCAGGAGAGAATCAACCAAACAACATCGAATAGACATTCGTAAAAACCAACGATCCACAGGGATTTAACTTATACAAGCAATCACCACCTATATACTTAAAATACATGCTTAAAATACGTGAAATCTTAGTCCAACTGATGTCTTGGGTGAAAGTGGGTCAAAAGTCTAAGAAAACGACTGATGATCTTGATGATCCTGATGAAACTAGCGGCGGATATGAACTCTAACGTTCCTGCATATATGAACTCATGTCGGTGAGCGGATCTGTAACGATTACTAGAGTATCTAGTGCGAGCGTAAGAATCTGAACTTGGATGGTTTGGAGACTGCTAAGATTTTTGCAGTCGAAAACCAAGACCCATTCTGATTTCGATCATTGTTGTCGCTATCGCCTTCTGTCATAGTCATTGGGACTGGAATGCTACGTATCGAAGGAGAAATAATGTAACACATCTGATTGATGAACAGATCTAGAGTAGACTTGCGGTGCCCACAACGCAGCGGCGGCCATTATAATTGACGATATGCATTATGGCTCAATGGACACTGCACGGCAATTGCACCCACCAGGTTTTCAAGGAGTGGTCTTGTAGGGAGGTTTTGGTGATGTAACAAGTTTGAGAGGATAGAACGATGAACTCACAATCATGTGCCTTCATATAGCATGATGAGTATGAATGTGCAATTGGGCGTCGAAAATTGGTTCAAGTAGACTGATTGCCATATTTCATGTAGCCCCATATCATTAACAGTGTATACCAGCAGCATAAATAGAGGAAAGAAGCCCCGTGAACAGTAGGACAAATTGTACCACTTGGACTTGATGATGGGAACTGAATAAATGATAGGGTCGATAATTCATGGAATGATATGATTGAATAGCAGTGGCAGGAAATCAATACACGCGGAAGCATTCAGTCAATGAATGAAGGTCTTAAATCAACAAACAAATCAAGTGCATTTTGAGGTATCAAATATCTTCGTGGATGTATTATACATTGAAAGAAATATCATTGAAATCGTGTCGACGCATCCCACTAAAAATCCATCCATTAAGACACGATGAAGACCCCATTCCCATTACACCAATTCGTTCCCACATTATAATTCCTCCTCATATTCTTTTCCAAACCCATCACCCTACAACAAAAAAGCAGCAGCTCCCATGATCGCAGCTCCAATAGCTGGAACCCTGGTAGCCATAGCACCTGCACTGCTGCTGCTCGAGGTTCCGCTCGAGGTTCCACTTCCAGAAGCCCTGGCGGTAGCACTAGCAGTTGAAGTAACGGTATTTCCATTACTATCTGTGGTAGTAACAACAACACTTCCGGTTGATTGAGCACTCTGACTGGCCCTTGTAGAAGTTAAGCTTGCTTGACTGCTAATCTGACTAATCTGAACACTCAATTGACTTCTGATTGCACTATTTGTCTCGGTGGCTGCTATAGCGCTCAGGCTGGAAATGTATGAGATAGCATTGGAAGAAGCGTCAGCAGCGCCGGCGGTAGCGATGGAACTGGCAATTGATGCTTGAGAGCTGAGGCCTGCGAGTTGAACAGTGAGATGGGAGATTTGAGCGCTGAGTTGTGTCTTTTGTCCAGCATTGGTTTCGGTGGCTAGTTGAGCGGAGAGGATGGAGAGGGCAGATTCATCTTGTTCGACAGCGCGGGAAAAGGCACCAATATCTGATGAAGCGGAGGCAGCTGCGGTACCGGCTGCAGTGGGCACGGTGGCGGGAGTTGTGATGGTACTGTCTGATTGTGCAACGGCCAAGGAGAGAAGGGGAATCACGGCGAGGATTTGGAAACGCATTTTGAATGTTGAGGATTAAGATTGAGTGTGTTTGACAAGAACTTTTGAAATGAATATTATATGATCGAAAATCAGAGTAGACAAATACTCAAGAGAGAGTGCGAGAAGAATTAATATATTAGGTTATTGTGCTTGTAAAAGAACAAATGTCAAAGGAGTACAACAATTTCCCCAAGTGCAACTTTACACCTTGTTTATATATCATTCAATTTAGCCCGAGGCGCGCAACAACCAATCCGTGGTTCATTGTCTACGTTCCCCAAGCCAAATGCAACCATGGCAACGCACTGGAATTGGTTGAAACCTTGCTCATTTCCCCGCCTAGTGAGATGGATATGTCCAAGCCATCTTTGATTCTTCTCATCCTCGTCACGTCAATATTGGATATAAGTACGTATACCCCGGACTTTCTTCAAATGTCTTACTTCGCTTCCCCAATCACAGATGAGCTCGGATCGAAAAGTAAACAAACGGAGCAAAAGATCCACTGTCTTGCTCATGTTTTCGCTATGTTAAACGCAGGCTCGATTCCTCTTTTCTAGGGTGTCGGGTATACTAGCCACACCATATTATATATTGTTTTTAGTAAACATAAAGAAACGCCTTCTGGTATGGAAAAATGGAAAAAGTAGGATAATTTTGAGCGACTTGCTTCTTTGCCCAGCATTGGCATGCTTGGGTATAGCAACTCTAATTTTAAGGATCCGGGGGAGAAACAACAACAAGAAAGCCAAAGAACTTCAGATACCACAGCCATAAAAGGCTATCAAAAAGCTATCAGAACTCAGGTTTTCTTTTTTCTGAGATACTTATTATCTCATGACTCAAACAACTTACCATTTCGTACATTTGATCCATTATCGCCTTCGTATTCGAATTTTTGACTACCATCACTACCACCATCAAATTCATCGTCCCTAATACATTGTACTGTTTTTCGCAATACGAGTCTATTTTGGTCGATCTGCATTCCTAGCTGCATCTCCAACGACTACCACCAGCATAGTAGCTTGTAGACTACCTCGTAGTTAGTTCACTCTTCAGCAAATCAACAAACAACAGATCTGGTGACTGAACATACCACTCCCACTCTCCACTCTTTGATCCAAGTTCATCAGCCACGGGAAATTTCAACATCAATGCGACTGCGGCTATTTTCTTCCCTTACTCCAAATTCTCAATCCTCATCCCCACAACGAACGTAAACCTTGGCAGTATCTTGGCCAATTAATAAAGGAGCAGTGGATCACTTTTTCATGTTTTGACATCTAGAATTTCAGAGAAGATGGATGTACTTCGTAAGTAGATGGATGGAATTGTTCTAACCAGAAATCGAGGGGTAAGTTTATCGGTGCTTGACTATTATCACATGATCCAGTTGGCCTTTGATGTGCTAGATTCACTAGATTCACACCCAATTGAATATACCTACTACCTATTATCACCTCCAAGGCAAAACAGCATCAAGATCGAAATCCAAGACATCCATCAGCCAGGGACCACTAAACTCGGTGGTCTGACGCAGATTTTAAATTATTATTTATTTTCTCGAAAACGGTCTGTCTGTAGGGCCTAGACAAAATCTAAAGATAGAAGAGACAAGATTCACATCGTTCATCTACATACCTAAATGGGTAGCATTCGAGAAAGTTTTCGAACCTTGATCGGTGCTCTTGAATCGAAATTTCGGTTTTCTATACATCCTTTCATACAAGTTTGATGGATTATATGTAGTCCTGCGGAACTTGCCATTTCAATATTCCATGTTGTCAAATGTTTTTGGTTTGCTATTTATGATTGATATCAGAAGTTCGCATGCTATATCATTCCAGTCCAACTGAGTACCATCGATATACAAAGGAAGAGTCGCATGAATACTTGCCTAGTAGTGAGTCACTACTCACAACTTGAGGATCTTCATCTTATACTTTTCGGATGCTGCTTCCCTGAATACTACTATCTTTTGGTTGTCCTTCATCCGTTTGCTTTCATACATACCAAACACACCATTGTTCAAGAATCAAATCCAAATATCTTGACTCCATCCTCCCTCGCAGAAGTTTGCGAGAGCAGAGCATTTACCCCTTGCAAAAGCATAATTTCTTCAACATGACATCTAAGCATTACTTCAGTACCTATCTGCAAATATAAATCACACTACACATTCTCGTTCTGAATACATACAAATCACCCACTAGCAGGGGTTCAAGCTTCAGATGATTGTTCAGAAATCCACACCGGCGTGATTTTCTGAGTCACTTTGTATCATAGAGATCCCAATTGATTCACAATGGTTCTGACCATTCCTCAAGACACTAAACTATCTCACTATCCGTCTATCCATCATCTAAACTCAAAAGCATCCCATCATAACACCCTGATGATCATCAGAATTATCCTCACAGCAACTCTTCCTAACCAGCCGCAGAATCCATTAATTAGTCATGCTATTCTTCTTATCCTCACTCTTCGCTCGAACTATAAAAATACAGAACGAGAGAACTCGTAATACCATCTCCCAATCCGTACATTGAAGATTCAGCGCTGACACGAATCGGTTTATACATTCATACAACATAACACGCCTAGAATTGCGTAAAAATAAATAAAGACTCCATATACGAGGAAATTCGGCATAAGAGTACTCTCCACGAAACTCGAGCGCGAGCCGCGGAGGACTGTCGATGATAGGTATAGTTCAGAAGGGGAAAAGATCACAGAAATTAAATATTAGGAAACTTTCTCCATGTCCTTCTGAAGCTTACGTATATTACATTATATCTCTTATATACCTCAACCCAATTCCCCATCTCCATCTCCATCTCATCCCCGCAAACCCGACCTTCCTATTCCATCTCGCATTCAGATTCAGACAAATTACATGCAGCAGTGGACCCTGAACACTTGGCACCTCACATCACATCATGTAAGTTTTGTCAGCCCACCTCCACCCCCACCAACCCACCAATCACACAATCAGCCGTTAGCTACGAATGTGACTCTTACCGACGCGTAGCGTAAGCAATATCACGTTTTATTTTATCTTCTACTTCTACATGTATGATGTACGTATGTAGTTTTTAATATTTAAATTTTTCCTTTACTAATCATTCATCATTTATTCTTCGTCACACGTTCAACCAATCTTTCTCTTTCTCTTTCTCAATAATCTTCCATCCTTCACACTATCAATCAAACCTCAGAAATGCCCATCCACCACTCCCCCCTCTTCCCCACCCTCACCCTCCCCTCCTCCAATCCCCACCACCAAAATCTAATCCTCACCCGTCCGCGCACCAGCGATGCAAAAGCCACCATCCCCGCCTTCGCCAATCCCGCCATCTACCTGAATCTAACCGGTCCTCCATTTCCCTACACACAGGATGATTTCGATTCCTTCTTCAACGAGGTACTGGATAAGAATTCTCGAGTTGCGGCTGCGGAGTTATGGGACGCGACGAGTGCGAAGGAGGATGGGTCACCAGTGCAGAAATGGGTGGGCGCGGTTCCTTTTCCGAGTATTAGGGAAGCGAGGGTGGGGGAGGAGGGAGAGAGGATAGAGGAGTTTATTGGGCAGATAGAGATTAGGAGGAGGGGGTTTGTGACGACCATAGATGATGTGGAGAGGAAGAAGTTGGCGAAGGAAAATGCGGATAGAAAGACGGGGGATCCGGGGATTGAATGGGAGATTGGTTGTATGTTGATGTTTTTTTGCATTGTGGTTCTTCTTGTTTCTTCTATCTCGGAAATGAACCTTCTTATGAAAAGTATGATAGTGCGTGATGGTGAAGACTGTACGGCTCAGCTTATAGTCCCATGTCGCCGGTCTGGTCCATTTGGTAGTTCCAAAATCTGCCTCTCTGGAATTTATCTTCAAGCGAAATTAGTTGCCAAGGTATATCGATTGTAGAAGTCTTTCAAATAACCTAATCCCATCCCTCAATCACATTCCTCTTCCTGACTTTCCCAATCCCACTAACGTTCTCTCCAGTCTGGCTCCTCCCCTCTCACCACGGCCGCGCCATCATGCCTGTTGTTCTGCAAACCCTCATTTCGGAATTTTTCATCCCGTATATGAATTTGAATTTCTTGACGGGTGAATACTTGGAGTTCAATAAAGCGAGTAAAAGAGTTTTTGAAAAATGTGGATTTGTAGATGAGGGAATTACAGATGGGGTGGAGGCGGTCCATGAAGGGAAGTGGGGAGCATTGGGCGCGCTGTTAGAAAACTTGAAGATTAATGGGGACGACGAAATATGGGAGAAAGCCCAGAGAGAGGGCTGGTTGAGGGGAGAGAAGGTGGGGGTGGGAAGCTTGAGATGGGGCAGAGAGGGGGGTGTGAAGGAGAAAGAAGACGGAAAGAAAGAGAATGGCAAGATCGTCGAATGAAGCGATGCATGTATGATTTCGGGTGGATTGAAATTTGAGGGAGAAACAGATGACAAATTTTCCGCAACCATAACATCATGACGCCCTACGATAGACACACCAGCAAAATTGCTCTCTTTGGTAGCGACATGTAGACGACGATATGACGCCAAACAGCTGGCATGGATTCAACTAGAATACATAGCTAAATAAGGTATACAATATGTATGCTACACAATGACAATAGTCAGCGGATCAAGATACGGAGTTCCAATAAGGAAACGGAGAACAACATTACTGACCAAGACTACTGAACATGATTGGGCATTCAACACCGTATGTAGTGAGAATTTCCTAACGAATTGTTTTCATACAACAGCTATGGCGGTGGGACACCGGGGGGGGGTAGGTTTTTATATCTTTTTCCTATCTACTTCATTCAATTAGACACAGATACAGGCGCATCGCATGGTCTTAGCATAGCTATATAGATCGAAACGATTATGAATTTACTACTACTACAACAGCTATGGTTAGACGTGAGATAGTCACTAGATATCTGACACACCTAATCTGTGATGAATCTTGTGCATCACCTGGACGATATGTTTGTCTTGTTAGATTTGAGCCCGCCAGGTAGTTTTCAGATTTCAGATACAATATTGAACATGGCTAGATCGCGACAAACTGCCAGTTCGTAGATGAGAATCTTTCAATACCATATAATTCATGACTGGGCGAAGAGCTTTTATTATAAGTGTAAGTCTTCGGTACGATATTGACGGTACTGGACCGGCGCATCAAATTGGATTCGTCAAAGCCATCAACGAACCAATTGTCAGGATATAGCAAAAGCTGTTTGGAATGTGTAATCTGGCATCGCATCTATCGCATTATCCAGATGGTCCCTATCCAAATCTTCATTGAATTCAGGGTGTGTAAACTTCCTTAACGCCATCCGAAAGTGCGAAGAGTGTGGAGCCTCATGAGAACCACAAAAATGATTCCCAAAGAATTTAAAATTAAGCACGGTAAGGAGAAGCTCATCCACTTTGGATTCCTACCACAAAGAATGTACAAACGACAAGTTAGAGAAATGATGATCCCAATCCTCAAAAATGTGCTCGGATATACCGAACAGGGTGCATGTGAAATCCAACATGAATCTTGCTTATTAGGAATATGATCTTTAATGAATGTGGGTGGTGTACATAATTTGGAATAGAGGCACCGCCACGAGAAAATCTTCAGCTTGTTCTAAACGACGTTAAGAAAAATTGGGGGCAAATTCCAGCGGCATACGCGCAATGAACAACGATGCACTAACAATCATTTTTCCGGTCATCTTCTAGCGTTCGATATAGCGCTGCAAGACTCTTTTGCATAGCGCAGCCACTAGAGAGCCGCAGCTAAAATGGCTTGAGACGCGCATTTCAGTTTCCACGTAGATGGATGCACTATAATAGCGCCCGAAACCAACAGGAGTGTTGGCCGAATGAGATCAAGGCGAAAACAATGGCGGGAGTTGACCAGATGAAAACAGCGCTTAAGTATGAAGACTGAGCTGACTTTGTCGAGGATTAGTATTCCTGAGGGATCAGTGGGCTAAGAGTCAAACCCCCAATACATGTGATAACAAATGCCGGGGAACATGAGACGAGAAAGACTCTGGAACGAGTTGGATAGATAGTATGGAGTCAAAGAGTCATTGCTATGTATACACTGTAGTACAGCAGTATAGCAGTAGCAGCTTGATGAGTTTTCATCTCAATTTCAACCCAAGATAGCTATGTGCTTGATGAAGTTCGACAACATGTACTCAGGTCTTGGTTTCATGCCAGTGATCCATCGCTTGGAGTTGTAAAATTGGAGAGTTGAGTGCCGAACAATAAGAAACAGATGCTTCCCAGGTTGACCTCGGTGAGAGCTCTTCACGCTACCTGGGTAAGTAATGAAACATCAAAACGGGCTAAACCATTCTTGTGATAGATCCCAAATTTTGTCGCTGGGTTATCCATAAAAACCTCCTTTCTATTTGCCATGTGACCAATTAAGTAATCTATCGATATCGGAGTTATGTAAGCCGCTTTACGATAACAGCTTTTCGACGGAGCAGTGAAGCACAAGTAGAATAAGGAGGAGGTGTGGTTACATCGTAGCAAAAAGTGTTCATAAGGGGGAACTGAAGCTTTTACAATTTCCTGCGCCGTTCATCTCAATGCAAATGTGATGCAAAGGAGTGGATTACGACCTGGATAATGACTACCTAGCTAGGTAATCACCAGGAATCACTAGGTAATAACTGCATAGTGAAATAGTGTTTATAGACTGATTGACCAATCACAATACGAAGAAAGGAAGAGATACAAACATGGGAATTATTTAACCATCATATCAATTGCTGATTGGTCTCAATAAACATGGGATTTCACCAAAACCTTGATTTTTCCTTAATTCACTGTGTGTGCGCCGTACCAAAGAGAAAAAAGTGACCGAAGCTAAACTCCAAGATGATGGATTCACAATCTTCCTCCTTGCTCTCGCATATTCTAATACAGTATCACCTCGAGTCTTCAACCAAGGTTACCTCTCGTTCACAACCCAACCAACTTTCGTGGATTGTTATCCTCATCCTGTCGCTTTCCTCCTTCCGCTGTTGTTTATTGAGTATTGAGTATTGACTAATGCTATTGACTATTGACTATTGACTCTCGTTCTTATATACTTCAAATACACTCTTGCCAATAACCAAACCGTACTTACTCAGGACATACTTGTGCCTCATTATTGCTCCCTCGCTCCACCGACTTACTACACAATTATAGTCCTTTTCATAAAACGCAGGAACGCTCTAGACTTCTTTCTACATTCCGAAATCCCCCCATATCGATTTGAGACTTGGTCAACGTTTGGATCTCCACCTCAATCTTCATCCCGCACCCCAAACTAGTCGGTCGTTACCATTCTAGCCTAAACATTGGCAAGGAGACGGAGAAGAACCAGAGATACCTTGGAACCTGTTGTGGATGCAAATTCAATCCATCTAATAAAGACAAGAAGCTTCTCCATCAGTTGCTATTTACCTCCCTCCTTTCAGCTCCCATATCCACATTTGACCAGCCTACTACAATCTTTCCTTCAACTACCTGGTCCGCAATATCCCCAATTTCAACATCGCGTTGACTTTCATTCTTTTACCACTCGCCATTTCGATCTTTGTACATACAATAATATTTACTATTCGCATCATGTTTTCAAAGTCCATTGCCAGAGCTGGCTTGATTGCCAGTCTAGCTATCACTACCGTTAACGCCATTGCTACGATCTCGGTAACCGGTTCGAAATTCTTTACAAGTGATGGCGATCAATTCTTTATCAAAGGTAAGGTTTGGATGTATCATACTCTTGGATTCTTGGCTGACAATATTTCTAGGTGTCGCATACCAGTTGACCGAAGCTGATCCTTTAATCGACACTAACCAATGCCAACTGGATGCCTCTTTAATGAAAACTCTGGGCGCAAATGCCATTCGCGTTTACCACGTTGACCCTTCAGGAGATCACTCTGGATGTATGACTGCTTTCGCAGATGCTGGGGTTTACCTTTTCTTGGATTTGGATACGTTCAATACTGCAATCACTCCAGTATGACATACATTATTCCATGAGCAGAAAAAAATACAGCTGACCCCTTTAACAGACTGATGCGACCTGGAACGAAAGTCAATACACCGCATTTAGCAAAGTAATGGATGCGTTCGCCAAATTCGACAACACCCTTGGATTCTTCGTGGGAAATGAGGTTATTGCTACGAACAACCAATCTCTAGCGGCACCATTCATCAAAGCCGCTGCCAGAGATATGAAGGCATACAGAACTTCGAAAGGATACCGTGAAATTCCCGTTGGCTACTCTGCGGCAGATATTGCGGAATTACGTCCTATGCTTCAAAATTACCTTGCTTGCGGCACCAATACTTCCGAGGCTATCGATTTCTTTGGTTTGAATGCATACGAATGGTGCGGCGATAGTGATTTTTCTACTTCTGGTTACAAGACCCTAAATACTTACGCCGAGGGTTATAATATTCCAATTTTTTTCTCAGAGACCGGATGCAACACAGTCAAACCCAGAACATTCCAGGACCAAGCAGCAATTCTCGGTTCGGAGATGGATGATCAATGGTCTGGTGCGATTGTTTATGAATGGATCGAAGAGGCCAATGACTATGGATTGATCAGTTATGGACCAACTGTTGCAGCTACTGCTGTCGCAACAAATGTTGCAGGTGGATTTTCTCGCGGCGGAACTCCAACCCCTGTTTCTCCAGATTTCGCCAATCTCCAAAGTCAATGGTCAACTTTGACTCCAACTGGTGTTGCAAGCTCTGCTTATTCGCCAACTCTTACACCACCTGCTTGCCCTGCATCGACTTCTGGAGGCTGGTTGGTCGATGGTGATGTAAAATTGCCATCTATTGGCCAGAAAGAAGCAACTGGCACTGCCACAACAACCTCTGGATCAGCATCTTCTACCGGAAGCGCGACTGGATCAGCTGCATCTGCAACCTCAACAAAGGGTAGCGCATCTGGGGGTAAAGAAATTACTGGCATGAGTGTAGGATTAGCTGCAGTTATGTTCGGTTTCATGTACTGGCTATAGATTCTCGATACCCTTCAAAAAATCTTCTTTTCTCAGCCTTGATGGCTTGATATGTATAAACGATTATGATACGCGGAGGAATCCTTTCACCCTAATTCGGTACATATGCGCGTTATGATAAATGAAAGCGCGGCGTTGGATTTGCATTGTGTCATCTTAGACGCAATAGGGTTACTTTCTTCAAATATGGGATATACAGGTCATTGTATCCTGTGTATATAAAAAGCATGAATTAGTTGGTCAATATCTGTTATTCTAGAACGACTTTAATAGATACTTAATAATGAAATTAAAAGACAAGAGTCTGTTTTATTTGCAGATTGTTAAGCATGTGAGTGTGTTGGCGGTATGCGATGTTGACAAGTGTTTGTTAACAAGTGAGCAACAAATGAGGAGCAACTGGTATATCATTTGGGGATGCAAGGATAGTCTATCTTGAACCGTCTTTGTGCTTGGTGAAAGATAACAGAATTGACATTTTTGGATAGATTGATGAGTGAATAGAAATCATAGGTACCTAGGTGTTATGTGATTTGATTGTAGGGTGGTGTCTAGATGGGATGAGATACATGGGGAGGGTGAGTGAAGGTATGAAGAAGGCGAGAAGGCAAGTGTAAGATGAACATTAGAAGTATGAAAGGATGGATGGATGAGACGGCATGATGTTATTTATTTATTCACCATGTACAATCGTCTTTCTTTTGTTATTAGTATAAGACATTGTTTTGTGCTGAGGTTGTGGTTAGTTGATATATGGAAGTTCGAGGAAAGGTTTATTTGTGCTTGGGCATTCATGAGGAGAAAGAGATATATCCTAAATTCTAGATTGAAGATTCAAAAAATCAAAGGAAATGCAACTTGGATGAATTGATTGTCTATATTCACCGATTTAGCTCCTCTGTCTTTTTTGGTCTTGTAAGGAGGGGGCAAGTGTAGCAGTGCTGTAGTTGAAGTTTATCTCTTCCCATAGTGGCCACAGATTTTTTCAGTAAAGGTTCATTGACAATGAGCTTCATCTCAGCTTCATCTTCTCATATCTATCAACTGCTTTCATCTAACTACCATCATGCACTTTCATTCTTATCCCCACGAGATTGGTATATCTTACTTTGAATATTCACTTTTGCTTGCAATTGCTGCACAATGGAAATTAAGCGAGAGATTCCCAGGGAGGAAATAATCAGTAGCCAATAATTCGTTATGTTCACCTTGAAGAATAGAATATTTAGTATTGTGAGGGTTTCAATTCGGGAGGCTGGGAAGGTTAGAGTCATATGATCATTAATAATTGGTTGATAAATTGTTTGAGTGTGCGGAATAAAAGTTGTAGATAATTGATGGGTTTTTTTGAGAGAATCGTGAGTGCGACTTCTTGTGCTTTTTCTTGTTTCACAACCATATAAACAATAACGACAACACCATACAAATTACAATTTTTGATTGAAGAATTGTGATAATGGTTTTATTTCTTCTCCCTGGTCTTAGGCCACATTGGAAAATTGCCCAAGCAAATATTGGTAAGTCCCCATATCATGTCCCTAGCGAGATGGTGGAGATGATGGAGATGGAGATGATGTTTCTTTGGGGAGCAATAATCTAGTGATTCTCTTGATGTTGGCAAGTAAGATGATAGTATATTGTCTTTCTCAGCCCAAAATTCTGGAGTCTCAAGTCTATAGTGGTGAGAAAGGCGGCACTTAATTGTCTTCCTTTCGACCAAGTTTGGAAGAACTAGACTCTCTTCTTTCTCGTCCATACTTCTTCCTTATTCAAACCTTTACTGACAATTACATTTTTTTTTTCTAGAAAAACAAGAACTATTCACTCCAAAGAAAACTGTTGGAGATTCTGGAAGAAAATTCCCTCTCCCACCTCATATCCTCCCTCGCCTTAACCTCCATAACTCTTGCAATTCCTTCCCATCAAATTCATCTTCCGCACCGTCTCTTCTTCCATCATTAATGGAAGATTCTCCGACTTCTTTACATTCAGCGGATTCTGGTTCTTGGTCTGGTAAGAGACCAGCGGAAGGAACGGCAGACGAAAGACCAGGAAAGAAGGCGAAGTACGGCCTTGCCAGCCATATTGGTTTTGAAGAGAGAGAAACAGACGCAGACGACGAGGATTCAGACTTTGATTCTGCGGATACACCAAGTGATAGAGAAGAGGAAATTACATGGGTAGCTCCTCCAGCAACCGTCCCAGAACCGATTGCAGAACCAAGTGTAGCTAGTCCGTTCGCTTCACCTTCACCTTCCAATCCCGAATCAGAATCCGATTTCTCTGATACACCGAGCTCGAAGAGAAGAGCACTTACGCCACCATCACCAACTCCAGAGCCTGTTGTCAAGACCGCAGCAAAACCAATCCCAGCAACGGGTCGTTGGGATTTTACCCTTACGGCAAAACAAGCAGGTTACGTTTATAACCCGAGGAAATCCATGACCGATCTGAGTGATCGTTTCGCTACGCCTTCAGACTCTGATAATACCCTCCATACAGACGATAGCGAATCTGATTTTAATTCTACACCAAATCGCTCTTCGTCACCAGCGCGCGCACGTGCTTCTTCACCTTCACCTTTACCTCTACCTTTACCTCAGTGGAAATATCATTACAATCCTATCGATCGAAATAATCCCACCACTCCACCTTCCATCGGAACAAAACGCAAAATGGAACAAGCATATGCCGAATGGCATCAAGAAGAAATGGACACACCTAGAGCACCATCATATTCTCCCATCACTTTACCAGCCGATACACCACAATCGATTGATCTCAACGAAGTGGAATCTGGACCTGCAAAATATGATTCGCCGTCGCAACAAGAAAACATCGAACCTTCTCGCGCACCTTCATATTCCCATCATACTATTTCCTCATCTTCGCCTCAAACCCACTCCTCACCATCCATCCCCGAAACCACCATCTTCCCCACCGATCTCCCTTCCCCCTCCGTTCCATGCCGTTTAGAACCTCACTCGCCAATTCTCGATCACCTCACTGCGCAATATATTGCTCAAGGACCTCATCCACAAGTTTCCCACGTTAATCACGCAGCTGTGAATCAAAGAAATGCGTCTCAGATATTGAGCAAACATCAAGATGATCGCGCGCCGTTTGTGAGAGCTGCAAGTCGGAGACTACAGGCGGTGGTGGGTGTGAGAAATGATTTGCCGTTTGACTTGTTGATGGGGATGGGGAGGGATGATGCGTGTAATTTGGTTGTGGGGAGGGAGGGGACGTTGGTAGATTTGGGACTTAAGGGTTTGGGGAGAGAGGAGGGAGTGAGGGGAGGTGGAAATGAAAATGGAGAGGGAGAGGATCTTGCTGAGCGAGAGGATGGTGTTATGAGTGAAGACGATGTTGGAAATGGTCGGGAAGATATGAGCACGAATATGCATATGAACACGAACACGCATGCAAAGGAAGCATATAATACGAATACCACAGCACAATATCTCCAAGATATCCGCGCTTCGTTCGACACTCTTCGTTCTTCCTCCAACAACCCATCTCATCCTTCTTCTTCCCACCATCCTCACCACCAAAAAACAGCACGACAATCAACCACTTCCAACCCAACCCACGAATCTCCAACTCCAACACAAACCACCTTCTTCCCCCCCTCAGTCAACCCCCACACCGGCGAAGGACTCCGCGCATATCTCCTCTCCCGCGCTTCCATAACCGGTTCCGTTAAGAGAGAATGCAGAAGTATATCGTTTCATGATTTCACACCGAATGTACGAACGGGAGAGTTTAGAAATCAGTTGTTGGTCCATTTTGGGGTGGATGGGATGTCGAGTTGTGAGAGGGTGGAGGTTATGGAGTTGGGTTTGTAAGTTTTTTTTCTTTTCTTTTTCTTTTCTTTTTTTCTGTTGAGTTTTTTGAGTTCTGGGTTGCGAGGTTGGGCTGTTGAATTTGCTTTTGGTTTTGCTATTGGGGGGATCGGAGTGGTGTGAGGCCATGAGAAGTGCTGCAGTGCGGTGGTTGTGTGACTTGACTCTTGGCTTGGGGAAGATGGGACGGCAAAGTTGCTGTCTCTCTACTTTCTATTGTCGATTGTACTTCTGTTCTTCTGTACTTTTCTTTGACAATTTACGCAATATTTCTGCTGTCATTCCGTTTCTTCACTTTATTGCCCTTCTCTACTCCCACCTATCATTCGAACTTCAACAACAACAAAAAGTCTTTCTTGATATAACTAACACCTCTCCACAGACCCGATATAACCGGTACCCTCCACCCCTGGCTCTCAATCTTCATCCAACGCCCCCTCGTAACCACCAGCATACCCACCACCTCCACCTCCACCACCTCCACCACACCCCCCAATTTCCCCAAACCCACCCCCACAACCTGGCTCTGCCTCGCGGTCCCCCTCTCAAATGTAACCACCTACCCCATCCAACCAGACACCTCTCTCCCCCTCTCCCTCCTCGAACCCACCTTCTCCCACACCCAACGCGGTCTCCCCACCAAAAAGATCGCCAAACGTCAAGACTACGATTTCTCCTTCCAAGGCGTCCCCATCTTCGAATTTTCTACCCGGACCCTCTTTCCACAGCCCGAAAATCAAATTCCCTTTTCCAACACCGCGCCCACTGGGGATTTTCTCTCCGTCGAGGTACCTCGTCCTTACGATCCAAGTGACCCCTATCATCCCTTTCCAGCACAGGTATCCCAGAACCCGGGATTGCTACAGCGGGAAACAAGGAAATATGCACGAGAAGCGGGAGTAAAAGGAGAGGAATTACATACCTATGGTGATATGATAACAGATGAGAGCGGAGTCGATATAAGCGAGGAAGTATCTCCCAATGAGGGAATCTGGTGGTGTGAATTTTATCGAGGAATTACTCGAGATAGGATTCGTTGGGAGAGAGTTAAGAGATGCATGGGAAGGGGGAGATGTAGAGTTGTCCTGAGGTGGCAGGATGTACCTGATGAGATGAAGAGATTGGGTGGTCGTTCGAGTTCGAGTTCGACTTCTAGTTTTAGTTCTGCGACCGGTGTGGGAGTGAGTGGAAGAAGTAGTGAAGCGGAGAGAATCATGCAGGAGATGAGTAGGGAGAATACAGGGGGGATAGGGAAGAAAAGAAGGGGAAAGAAGAGTTTACAAACGAGCCATGCGAATACGATTTCGTGTTCGAGTACGAGATTGGGATTGGGGCTGGATGCGAATGTGGGGAGTCATTCATATTCGCATATGCGATCGGGATCGAGTGATGCAATGCGAGAGAGTTTGCGCGCGAGAGCGATGGGGAATCGGATGAGTTTTAACGGAGGGGTGTAGGGATATGAGGGAGTGGAAGCGAGGAATTTGAGAGATGATACGGGAAAGAGTAGCGGATTTGGGGGCTGAGAATTTGGTTTTGAGGAGAACGAGAAGGGGGGGGAGAAGTTTGCGAGTGACTTGCTTTCATTTTTTTGCAAGGCTAGTTTTCATTGCTTGAAATTTCTCCTCTACAAACATACTTTTGTTGCAAGCAAGCGCACGGGGAAATGGTGCCATCAAAATGATTTTCTTTTGCAATGAACTTCATGAAGAATGCAAGAACGGAACAGGAAAGACTTTCAATCTTTTCTTGACGAAGATACATGGGATGAATTGATCTCCTCAAAAAGTATCTTACATCTGGGAAATACCTATCTCATGATTTCGTATCTCAGAAGAAGAGAATAACACAGCAGCAAAGGACACTCAGAAATTCAAGTACAGGATGTCATGAGAAGAGGAGAAACACTACATGATCCTGGTCTTTACGACCATCTTGATATTGCACGAGGTGAAAGTTTCATGAAAGCATACATGCATGCATCACTTTTCGCATACCTAGATACCTAGATGCCTGAATATCTACTCAGAGCTAGCAAATACTCACAAAAGAGAACTAACTACCTAGATAGATAGCTAGAGAAAAATATCAACATATCAATATTTCCAATAACAATTCATTTTTTGCGAATCATCGTCTCTGATCTGTTGTGCTCCGCTTTAGATTTTCGTTTCTTTACATCCTTCATGCTGATTCAGGTTTCATACACCGACCACATCATACATCATCTCTGTCCCATCTGCAAAACGAGCTAGCAATATGAAGCCATCATCATCTTTGCTTGCGAACACCCGTCACACTTTTATCAAAAGGTAGTAAAGACTTGGAGTCATCAGAGACGTGAAAGTAACATTGGTATCAACACGTCAATTCCACTTCATTTGTAAAGTTTTGGCTATCTCGAGCATACATACCCTCACAACTTAAATGTCACTAACTCGTCAATCATCATTACCAACCTCCAAGCCCTCGTTTGTAGACACACCAACTCTAGGGAAAACAAATACCACATTCGAGAGGAATGGGCAAAGACACCAGATGCTCCATAAACTGCAAGAGAGATTGAATCACGTTGTACGTTTATAGACTCAGTAACTTTAGAATGATACAAAAGGCCGTACGATAAAACCAGTATCGAGCTTGGCAAATCCATCAATATAAACCACGACGCAAAAGGGCTGTGGGAGTATTCAGACATTTATAGTACATACAGATACAGGTACAGATCGAGCTTCCATCTACGCTACCTAAATGCATCATAACATTCAAGTCGTGATCGTCGATCCTACATCGCATAACCCATCTATCTCGAGCATAACTGAGATACCATAATCCAATCTCGGCCGCATTTGCAGAGGTGAGATTCGAGGCCGTAGGTCCTTCATTCCTTTTGACGCCTCATTCATGATACATACAAAATATACACTCGTCCGTTTTAATTCCCTAATTCATCAACCATTACGACGAAGAACTTCCCCACCAACCACCCGTCATTCCACTCTTCATAGCCTTTAGTCCCTCTTCCTTGGCCTTCTCCTCCATCTCGGCTTCTTCCTTCAACCATTTTGCTCCATTCTCGCGAATTTCTCTATCAAATGCCTCGTAGTTCTTCTGTCCCCTTTCTCTCGCTAAATCTTGCAACATCTTTCCTTGAGCAAGCGCATCAGCTAGACTCTGTTCATTAGGATCTGTCACCATCATTCCACCTGGCTTGATACCCAAAGCACTTCCTAGTAATCCTACACCACCACCTCTCTTTCCGTGCTTCTTTCTTTCCTCTGCAAGTTGTTCTTGGAACTTCTTTCTCGCTACTGCCTCACGTTTGGCAAATTCAGTAGGAATATGTGTTCCTTCAAATGATTTCAAGGCTTTGCGTACATCGGCGTATTGCATTGTAGGGATATATTCAAGGAAAGGAATCAAAGAAACAAGTTCTTTGTCTTTGACGTCACCCATCCATGGCTTAAGGATTATTGCGTTTTCTGGTTGCTTCTTCGCGTGGTGTGCTTTAGTATCGATTAATATGACCTTTGAAAGATCTCGGTTGAGGTATGAAAGATCCTATATCGAGTTAGCAACAGTCACGGGAAAGATGACACGAAAGTCTTACCTTGATATATTCTCCGTTTTCATAAAGTGTTGCCTCTCGGAAAAGCGGCCAAGTAACGATATGATATGGATCGAATTTTCGAATAACTGGCTCTGCTAAAGTAGATGGTTGAGTGGTAAAGATGACCAGCTCGTAATATTGACTTAGATATCTCAAGAAATAATCCACACCGGGTCTTTTTGCGAGTCGCCAACCATGTTCTCTGGTCCATTCACTGTGAATTAAAAGATCCTCCATACTTAGAACTAATGTGTAAGGGCGCTCAAACATGGGACTTGGATCGGGGAGTAACTTGGTAAATGCTGGCTCGGTGTAGTGACCAAGTTGGTCTCCGGTTCGGGCCCTGACACGATTCCACATGCCAGTGAGTGACCATCCCGATGGAGCAGTTTCTGAATGTAGTCTTTCCTCTTCCTCTGTTTCCCAATTTCTTCCCATATACACCGTACCAGTGATCGCAGATATGAAGAATGCAAGATACATGTAGTTGGCCATTTGGTTTCTCTTTCTTTCCGAGGAAGAAACATACGCAGATGCTGGCAATTCCCCGCGACCTTTACCCCCACCACTAGGATCTTCTTCAGGATCTGCCGCTTCTGTAAGGTTCAATGGCGATGCCTTCGATTTTCTATTTGCCAATTCGAAATCCAAAGTCGAAGGAATACCTTGCGTGAGATCTGGTAGAGGTTTACTTTCGAATTCAGCTTGTGCGGGGTCGACAGCGATGGTCTCGAATTCATCTTGCTTGCCAGAGAAGTCTGGACTTTCACCTTTCCTTGCATCTGGGTTTGGTACACTGGCGCCTCCTCCCTCTGATTGTGGTACAGTATTTCTCTGTGGTGAAGCTCCCTTACTCACTTCATCTTGTGCCTTGGAGAAGTCTGGGTTACCAGATTTATCACTACTCAGTCCTGATTTTGGCGAAGTAAAAGCAGCTTGTGCTCCAGCTGGACCGGATGGTGTTGGCGTACCCGAAGGTCTATTATAATCTGTAGGCTTCTTAGGCTGGCGGCGATTGTTCGCCATCGACCGAGTCCATGACGTTGATGAGGTTATTCGGAAATTTGTCGAACTATTTCTAAGAGCTGGCGTTTGCAACGACCTTCCGATAGCTCTAGACAACATTATGAAGGAAAAGAATCAATATACACAGCTTACTTTAATGAAGAAAAGACTATATGCGCAATCGCATTGAATATGAATGAAGCTCTTGTCAGGAAAGAGAAACTTCCAAGTTCCTTTGGCCCAATAAAATAACCTGATTCCTCAAGTTTTCCCTTACAAGCAGCAAAATACAATTTTCTACAATGATGCGGGCGGTGAAATATTGAAGCTAGTACCAATGAATACTAGCTCCAATTGGCATCAAACTCCCCACCATAAAAGCATCAATTGATTTTCGCATTCTGATTCTCTTTCTCTTTTCTCCTTAAAGTTGACACTCAGTGGACAGAAATTATACTCATCGCGCCTACAATAACCGTGGACGAAGAGTTGAACAATCTGAGGAGAACGAATATGACACTTTCAAGAATTGGATGTTAAGCCGGTGCTTGAAAGAGCACCGGCTACTCAATTACAACTTCAGTCCCGTGGTGTCCTAACATTCCATATCTTATTGAAATATTGATATTTTGAGGGTGTTTTCGGCCTCCCTCATAATCTATCCGAATATACTCGGCACAAGTCTTGATAGGAAGATTCTTCTTGTGTATAATTGAAGTTTTGAAAATATTATTCCATTATTCATCATTTGAGATACAACGCGATTCACCTTTTTATTTGTGATTTTGAATCAGTATCTCTTTCCTAGCACGCGACTCTCTCCACTTGGTTCCTTCATTCACCTCAAACTCATCCAACCTAGCACTCAAGACTCTACAGTATATCGACGACAACTACAGTTTCACAATTTGGTCGTCCTACCTACTTACTTACTCCTACCTGAACAATAACAATAGATATGGCGCCGTCTATGAGACATCATACTTTAGCCTTACGGAATCGCCGCGCAATAGCAAGCGTGCCCGTATCTGGTTCCACGACCCCAAATTCATCCGCCTACCCCTCAGCATATCCATCTGATGCTGAAGATATCACTCTCGCCACTCGCAAACAGAAACAACCATTCCCATTTCTCTCTCTGCCCTCCGAACTACGAACCAAAATTTATGCCCTTATATTCGCCCCTTTCCCTCCAATTATCGACCTTGACCCTACAACATTTTCCATCATTCATCGTCAGAAACTCCTCTCTCTATTCTCTGTCTGCAAACAAATCTACAATGAATCATCCCACCACTTCTTCTCAACCTATACCTTCCGTATCTTCCCTGTTCATCCAGGTCGCTATTTTAAGACAAAGAAACCATTACTCGCGCGTCTGCCAGCCCAATATCGCAACTCTATCACTACACTTGAACTTCGTCTAGGTCCAGGCTGGAATAGTCCTCCAAGAGGTTGGATTGTATCACCTCTACTTGGACTTTCTGATTGCACATCCGTCCGTGTTCTAAAAATATTTGTGGAATGCGACCCTTCCGACGCTATATTCAAAGGTTTCAGGGCAGGTGATGGGTTTTATGAAGGCTTCTGTCAGGAACTATTAGAAGGAATATTTAGAGATGTTAAGGGAATTCAAACTGTTGAATTTGATGCCTTTCCTGGTGTGCAGAGGACTGGAGATATGATGAATGGATTACGAGAGGTAGTAGAAAGACATAAGAAAGTTGTGGGATGGGGCCCTGAGAGGGGCTGGGGATTGGAGAAACCCGGAGAAGTTAGAGAAAGAATTTGGTTAGATGCTGTGCTTGTTCATGGAGTTGGAAGAGCGAGGGTAATTCCGGC